GGAATGTCTTCAAATTTGGCATAAACGTCTATTGAACTGAATTAGAGTGATCAAAGGTCACTGTGACCTCACAAGTTTTTGGCCACAACTCAAGAATTGAAGATTTAATATTGACACAATGTCACGTAGATGTTTAACAGGATCTCATTTCACTTTTCATATAACATATAATATTCGTTGGATCATTATTTACAGAGAGAACAATTCCTACCATGAGTAAGTGATTACCTATTTTATCTAAAGGGTCAAAGGTCAACTTCACTGACATCAAAATGTCCTGGAAAAACACTTTTTGGCTATTATTTGTGTTATTATTATCATAATATAATCATTTTTTCACTTTTTACAAGCAATGTATTTTAAGAGTTCTAATAATTATATTATTAAAGAAAATTACGTATCACATTAAAGCATATTTAAGGTGCCCTGTTCAACATTAACATAAAGGCCAATGTAATTTACACAGTAAGTTGTAAAATCAAATCAAATACTTTTAAGTTCACAGGGGCCCATTCTTGCAGTGTGGTTGATGTGAATTCCTGGATATTAAATGTTCATCTGCAATTTTCTCTAGTGGTCCCAGTAATATTTACATCCCAATTTAAAGTATTTATCTTTCTCAGTAGTGTTAGTTTTGTGAGCCATTTTAAGATTTGGTCTTAGTCTTAGTCCTGTGTCAAATGTCCTTTTTAGTTTTTGTCATATTTGGTCCACTGTATACTGTTTTATTTATTTTTTTAAATCAAGTTTTAGTTGACTAAAAGTCTGGGTATTTTAGTCTGATTTTAGTCAAAAGAAAGTCAAAAGTATTTCAGTTTAGTTTCAGTCATTAACCATCATTTTATTCTTTTCTAACTCATTAGTATGATTTTGATTGATCTACCCTAACCAAAATAGAGATATTTATCATTTTAGTTTTTATTTCACTCATCTCACATTTAAATAAAATGGTAGGCCAGCATTCAAAGCACAGGAAGAAAAGAAATACCGCTGAATGAACGCTGAAAATTTAGAGGGAGAAAATATGGCATGTAATATTTTGTCTCCTCATTATACTGGCAAAAAGGAGATTTTATTAACATTTTTATTTTATGAATTACATTTTAGTGTCGTCATTTTTCGTCAAAAATATGGCATGTTAAGTCAGTGTTTAAGTACATTGTCGCCATGTCATCATCATCCGTTTTAGTCAGGGGAAAGAAGGTCGTTGACAAATAAATTTTGTTTAGTTTCGTCTAATGAAAGTAATATTATTTGTCAGAATATGTGATAGTCATGTTCTTAGATGTACGTATTGCAGTGAACTAATATCATGTTCTACAGATGTCTGTGGGAACCTTTGTATTTTAAAAGGGGGGGGGGGGTAAATCTCTATGCAGGAAGCCACTGCTTAACACAAGATTAGAAACCTAAAATATCGTAGTATATAACATTAGATTATCTTGCCAGAGGGACCATGCACCACCTTTAGCTTTCGCATTTCTGGCCACATTTTCTGTGTTTGGCAGCAGAACTAGTTCACTGACAAAGACCCTAGACCAAACTAATCACCTGATTGTTAGGAGGGGTGAATGTGAGGAAATCAGCCCAAACTTTCTGTGATCTGAGCTGGTACTTAGTAACACTCCAAAGTTTAGGGGATCACGGATAACCGACATTTGTGTCTTCTAAGTTATGCTGTGGCGTAGAATAACATTATTTATCAATTGTTTGGTTAATCAGAACAACCAGGCAGACCTGGAAAATGCCACAGAGGTGCTGTCTGGCTACCTGGAGCGGGATATCTCCCAGGATTCCTTGCAGGACATCAAGCAGAAAGTACAAGATAAGTACAGGTCAGTGAAGGAAGAAATGTAATCACCTGACACTGTTAACGTTTGTGTTCTTGGACTCTTAACAATTTTTTTGTCTACAGATACTGTGAGAGCAGGCGAAGAGTGCTGCTACAGCACGTGCATGAAGGCTATGAGAAGGACCTGTGGGAGTACATTGAAGATTGAGGACACGTCCCAATGCAACGGACTCTTGAGTATCTTGACAAACTAGAGCGCTGATGCAATTTAACAGGGCAGCACGGGCCTTCTGCCGCCACACCTTTGGCAAACCAACCACTTTTGCATCATTTTTCCTGGATTTGTTTAACAAAATCTTCAAAGTAAATTATATTTAAATAAAAGGTAGAGTAATAAAAAGAAAGTGTACTACAGTATTGTTAGCAACAGAGTGGAGTCTTGAGAAAGCAGAAAACCCATCTTAAACAAATACATCCTTTTGGCTTGTATTGTAACACCTCCCCTGAACTATCTTATTTTCCTGGTTTTTTTTGCTTGTGAATCTTTTCTGTTTTGATTTTGACTTTTGTTTTCCCATTAGTGTGAAAATGTTTTCAACACAGCTTTAATTGTCATGGCCATGTCTGCAGTATGTGGCGAGATCTGTGTCTGGGTGGCTGAATGTTGATAGGCTGATTGCAAAGGGGCAAAGACATTTCAGGGGGGGAGGGGGAAGAAGAAAAAACATCAAAAGAACAAAATAGCAAGTCTGTATTTTTCAATTTGTAAATAGTCCATATGCATGGAAGTTAAAGAGCAAGAGTGGCACGTGTTTGCAAACTTTTGAAATTTTCAAATATTTATTCTTTACCAATATTGAAAAAGCTGTACTTTTGCCATGTAGAAGTCTCCCTCCAGAGTGTGTAGGGAGTATGGAAGTCTTTGGCAATAAGGCATTCACCCTATCATCCTCAGTCTCTTCAGAGCAGTGCACAGGTTACACCTGATCCGTAACTAAATGGGGACTGATAGAAAGAATTTCTCTTAGTTGCCAAGTGGTCAGATAAAGGAGTCAGTGAAAGTGCACAGCGGAGTAAGAAAACTAAGAGCAGAAAAGGTTTTACAAGTTAAGAGGTAAGGTAGAAAGCACCGGCCCTGTGTCCCTCGATTCTAACCTTTTGCCGTACCCTCTTAGTTGTTTTTAGAGGTGTTTAAGAATTTAAGAACATTACTAATTATTTGCAAGAGCCAAACTGAGTGACATTCACTCTTTTTTTTTTTTTTTTTTTTTTTTCTCTCTTTCCCAACATGGCTTGAGGTAGCCCTCGTAAAGCTCAGCTTGCACCTTGGGGATTGAATGAGGGTAATAGAATGTACAGACAGCACAGCTTTGTAGTGCTGCTAATTGGGATGGATCACTGTCAAACAGGGTCAGGCATTTGCATCACTCTTTGAAGAGATCTCTTGAAGAGATCTCTTGCCTTGCAGTGAGACAGAACAATGCTTTAAACCAAGCTACAAAGATGGACATGCGTGATCCTTAGGCAGATGACGAATATAGGGCAAACCTCTAAAGGTTGTAGGACTGTTTTATAACGCTGTTATGCTTTTGCATTAAAGACTGTATTTTTCGCACATGGGTTGAGGATTCAACATTGAAATGTCGGTGCCCCTCCAGGTTTTGCATTGTTCAATGTGGTGGTTGCTCTGGTTGTCAAGCTCTCTGCTTGTAAATGCTTGTTCATGTCTCTGCAATATGGCAGTCTTCACAAGATTTGCTGGAGGGAACATGAATATACAGGCACTGATGCAAGTCAGACGATGACACCAAAGTGTCAGCTTTCATTAAAACACATCCTTTAACCCGTTTTCAGATCTTTGGGGAATTCTCTCCCAAATGCTTCTTATGTGTTCAGACTTATTATTTTATCCTAGCAAATTATAAACTGTATTGTTTATTTGAATAAATGTCATGAGAAATCTCATTTTTGGGAGTACTGTGTGAGTCATTAGAGTAGGTTTGGTCTCAATCATATGAGTTACCCAAACATCCATGATGCATTTCTGCGCTATGTATTTTGCGATCTAGGGTACTACATACCTTTGCAGAGCTGTGTCTTCCAGAATTGCGTGGAATTAATTTGGTAACTGTCATTGAATAATTTTGATTTTAGGCAAAAAATGTTAGCTTTTTTGCACCACTTTTACTTGCAGAATGTATGATAAAGATCAGGTGGTTGTTTGTATGATGTCACTTTTGAATTCATTTTGTCTCTCAAGTCACAAACCAATGATGACACAAGTTGAATGGATAATAACAAAAGATGGGCTATTTTCTCTAAGATGGTTTGCAGGTAACGGCTATAGCTGTGATCATTAGGCTAATATGCTCTCCAGGGTTCTCTCTGTTTTCATTGTGTCTGCAAGTAGTTCATGAACATCTACATTGTTTGAAGTAACAGAAGCAGCTACTTACATTAAATTGAGACATCCAAAAACTTTTAATACTTTTCTACATATCTTTTCTTTATGCTATGAAAGGTGTTTTAGTTCCTATTAGTGTAAAAATGTGGGGAAAATTAGTTGTCTGTTTTGGAGAAAATATTAAAGTGCAAAATGTTGCAAACATCGTTCTGGCATGGGTGGTTGTTTGATAATGGACACAATGTTTTTGTTGTGACAGCAGCCATTTTCACCACAATCAGGATTTGATGTGTTTTAAAAAGGTGTCCTTAAGAAGACTGCTACTGAACTGTGGTTCTGCTACTTAACCCATCACTGGAAATACAGTTTCCAACTTAACAGCACTGACAGTTTTAAAAGGGGTGAATTTGCAACTACAAATGCTGCCACAAGATGGGGACAAAGATACTGTGATTACCTATTTTAGTTACAGCATGGAAAGTGATTATTTTTGACAAACCATTACTGTGGGGTGACAGGTTTGAATTAGTTTTGACAGTGCAAGAGACTCAATTATGCCATATTAAAGTTTTTCAAGACTGCAGGGCTTCTTTTTCAATTTACAATTTATTTTTTTACATGGTGAATAGAGAAGCTGCTAATCAGTCAGTGGTTAAGATTAACAATATGTGAAATTTAGCTTTGATGTTCAAGAAATCCCATGAGACTCCATGAAAGGCATGAGTATAAAAAAAAAAACATAATGTGGTGCCCAAGTCAAAAATGTATTTTGGAGAGAAAAGATTTCAACAGAATGATATAAAACATGGAATCATTACAAACATTTATTTAAGACAACAGTGAGAATGTTTCACTTCTATCTGCAGAAGAAAATTATAAAAATTGAAACAAAATACAATTTGAGGTGTAGGTCTTAAGGTTGACAGTAATAAGAACACTATGCCATGGTGCAGCTTGGTACAGAACTACATTAATTCTTGTCCAGCTTCACACAAAAAACATCCACAAATATCAGGGTAAAAAAAAAAATCACTCTGCTATAATGACATACATGACTGGCACTCTTATTGTACCTATACACATACATACACACACACACACGTGGCTGGTGCTGTAGGATAAGGAAACCCTTTTTAAAATGTCTTCATGTCATTTGCTGGTTTCCTTTTTCTTACTAGCAAAAACAAGAAAAACTACAAACTAATAATCACTAACTTCACTCAGAATTATAATTTTATTTTTAAACCAGATTACTGGATAATGACATAAAAATAGCTTAGAATTAAAGTTTAAAAAACCTAAAAGGGGCACTTTTTTGGTAAGTTTTTTAAGTTAAGCAAGGTCGTCGCATGTTGTTCACAATACCGCAGTGTAATTTGGAAACAAACCAGAAAAGTCTTGATTGATGCGTCAAAGACAAAAAGAGCTTTTAAAATTGGCTGGGGTCAGTCCCTTAGAATTGCAATTCCTATAGCTCTCAAGTGACAACGAATGTTTAGCTGACCTCATTGCAAAAAAATATCTAGTCCAGCTTCATTCCTGAGGAGGTCAGACAGTTATTGGCAAGTAAAACAAAAAACACTTGAATAACTGATTAAAAGACGTCATTGCAGCACTCAGTGACTTGACCAAAAACAAAACTGACACACTGAAGACTGTGTGGGGAAACTAGTCTTCAATCTTGAGCCAACCTTTTTTATAGTCTATCAGCAGCTCCAGGTAGTACTTCCACTCTGGCTCGCTGTCATACCTTACCTCAAATATAGTCTTTAGAGGGTTGCTGTGGGCCTCATGGATCCGCAGCACTTCTCCTCTGTACCACACTTCTGATTTGTCATCTTCTTCATACAGATGGCGAATCCTCTTTCCCACCAGGTCTGGGTAGTAGAACCTCATGGCCCTCTGAGCCCTCTGGACTGCCGAGCGCAGGACCCATCGCCTCCTGTGTTCGGCGCTGTGGCAGGCAGACAAGTAGGGACAGTATTTGATCTTTAAAAGTGATCTGTGTTTTCTTTTCGAAGAGCTGGTAAGGGGTCTTAAGGCGTGAGCGAAGCTTCCTGTTCTCTGCCACCTGTGGGTTACTTTGGGCGTCCTCCTTTGAAGGTCCCTCTTGCTGCTCTGTTTTCCCTCCCCATCATCAGTCTGTGAGAGGGAAGGATCAATAAATGTTCCAGAGTCTAAGATTGCTTGGTAGCGGGCCTTTTTTCTGTTCACCTTCAATTCACCTTCACTAAACATCCTCCTCAGTTTGAGAATCACACCTGAACAGTTGCTGGCTCTAACCGGAGATTTGGCTGGTCTTGAGAGCTGACTAGCAGGCTGCGGACTAGAGGATTCCTCCGTTTCTGTGTCACTGGGAGATTGAGAAAGGTCGTCCAAGGTTAAAGGACATGTCCATGAATTCTCAAAAGTTGTGTTCAGCAAAATGAGTGAAGAATCCTGTTCTGTAACCGTACCGTCACTTCCTCTATTCTCAGTCCCTTCAGACTGATGGCCACTGCAGATTTTCTCACTTAATGCATTCAGTACACCTCCACTTACAGCCTTTTCTCTGTCATCTGCCTCTTCCTCATCTGATAAACTGTTGTCCAGAAACATATGCCTTGAACCGCTCTTCACCCTGCTTTTTGTTTTATTCCTGTTGAAATTTGATTTCTGGTCCTTCGGATGTCTCTGTGGGTGTGAGTCTGAGGGTGAGGCAGCGATGTTTGAAAATATAGGAGTCCTGGATCTGATAGTCTCCTCACAACCTTCGTCTTTTTCTCTGTTTTCAGGATCCATATCGTCCATATCTAATCCTGCAACACAGGAAATATAGCAATCAGGAGAGCTCAAAATGAGTACAGTATTATGCCAGATATATAAAAATGAGGTTGCTGACAAAATGGAAAGAGTTAGAGTTCATAGGATTTATTGAGTGACAAGGGAAACATTAGATACACGTATGTTCAGGATTTGACACAAACAAATATAAATAACACATGACTCCCAAAAAACAAGCTAACAACTTGAAAGTCCAATACCTCCATACAGGATGATAAATCAATGCTCCCATAGTGCTTATTCAGAACACAATGAGGAACTATTCTATTAATATCAGCAGACATGGTGATTGGACAGCATGATCCTCCACCATGAAACACCATTTCAGCAGACAGAATAGAAGGGCTGTGGGAGTAAACACGAAGGCTGGGAAAAACTCAGCTGCTCCCAAAGCATGTGAACTGTTAATCATGTCAGCAGTGAACGGAAATTCGATTAAGCCCCAATTCAGTCAGCAAATACATGATCCAAAATAATAGCTGTACAGTAAAAAAAAAAAGTGATATTTTGTATGTTTCTTATTGTCAACAAATTCCATAAAATTACCAAAACCAACAATGATTTGAACCTGCTAACAAGTCTGAGTAGCCAAAGCCTTATATATAGCGCTCACTTCTCTCTGCCATAGATGTCCATTGTTGTCCAAAAACTATTTAAAATACACAAATGAACCACACCGCTGTACTGGGTGACATGCTTCTTCATTATGAAAAACATGGGCACTGTAGTTTATTTTCAGTCAACCCCACATATCCCGTACTGGAGCCAAAAATATAGTGCCCCAAATATGCAACTGAAAACAGTCTGAACAAATGCAGTATTTATTCCTGTTTGAGTAGCATTTGTTAGAAACTAGTGTCCAGCTGTTTCAGGAAATCACTGAACCTTTAAAACAATAAAACTATATATGTGTGACCATTTTGAAGATTCAGCCTTGAGTAGGAACAAATGGACTGGAGAGCCACAGGCAGGGTGGGAAAGTAAGAAAGTATTGAGAGACAGAGAAACACACTGTTGGTTTTGGTCTTTTCATGGGATTTATTGACAATAGCAAAAGTCTAGAATACTGCCAGCCTTAGTCTTTAAATCCACATGGACATTAAACTGTTTTCTCACAACACCAATCATTTAGTCCCACTTCCCTCTATGACTAAACAGCATAGATTTTTAAGGGAACTGGTCAGTTACAAGATGATGATCACAATCTTCTGAAACAGAAAGGGCTCAAAATGTGCCACAGTGAATCCCCCCGTGTGTAGCAGGCCATAACTTCCTTTCTGTTGTAATGTTATCCAACAGCCTGCCTCACAATCTTTGAGATCCACTAATACTATAACAAAATAATGCAGGCGATATTTAGCACATCCCAGCAACCTACCCCCACCCGCCCGCCCATAACAAGTATAATGCAATCATGCAACTTGTGATTAGTTACTGAAAGTTAGCATTAGTTTCCTGCTCTTTCTAATCAGAAAAAGCAAAGAGTAGTGAGATTGAGGGACAACATAAAAAATAAATATACCTGGACTCTCTTTTGGACATCAGGTGAGGTTGATTCTGTAAAAAATAAATGGATTTTATATTGAATATTTATTGTTATTCGTTCTTAACAAAAAGGGCCGATAATGCAGAAAATAGGATTACTAAAACTGCCTGACTAGGAAAACCATGATACAGTTAACAGTCAAAATATGATGATAAATAATAAAATCAAGAAGAATCAGTAAATCACACCGTCTACACCAATGGGGATTTTTAGAAATGTGCAAGGAAATGCAAGTACTGTTGCTTTGGCAGTCATGTTGTATACATCACATGGTCAAATTATCAAAGTAGAAGTATGATCTTTCAGGTGAAAAGTAAAACCTTTTTATAGCTGCCTGACCAATAATCTCTACTTAACTGACAACACAAATTGCAATGTTAGTGCTGCTGAACTGCTGTAGTTCCTGGTCAAACCGCCTGTGTAATATTTTAAAAAGGCATCTAGCTTGTGTATGCATGCGTATACACGCACCTAAACTAAATGGCCATTATTCATTCACTTCCTGACTCCTGCGTGAACATTTGTTTACTTCAGTGTTGGTCAAATAAGTGGTTGTGCCCATGAGGGGTAATTAACACAACTCTTGCTTACTGCAGCACCTCTAATTTGTCTGGCTTGACAACACCAAAAGAGACAAAATACCATACCATCCCAGAAGAACATCCATTTGGAAAATGAGCGGAAATATTTTAAAGACTAAAATAAGATGTTTTTAACCAACACTATAGGCATATAATAGGTAGCTATTCCCATATACTGTACGTGACCTCAGTGACTCGGAAGTGAATATGCACTCACCCAGATGTTTGCAGACACAGGTGTAATACAAAAGGTTGACCACGTCGGCGTAGATGTTGGGCAGGTGTTTGAGGGACATCAGTCTCCTAAGCCTGGAGGAACAGGCTCGTTTGTGAAGCTGGATGAGGATCTTTTCCTCGGAGAGCGTGGTGGGCCGCAGCTCCACCTTGTGCTCCTGCAGGACCTGGTCGATGAAGCTGCCCAGGACCGTCGGAAACAGCAGCACCTTCACCACCAGCATGGGGAGAAACACTGCCCCTGTCCGCATGACGTGCGGAAAAGGACAGCGTTCCTGGACAGTGTACTCTCGCAACCTCTCGAGGACCTTATGGAGTGCCGACTTCATCTCCTCATTAAGCCACGCCTCTCTGGCTTTTATCCCCAACAGACAAGACACCTTCTGGACTTTGGTTGACGGAGATGCAGGTTCAGCCAATTCCAACTGAGTCAGCCAGGTTCTGAGCTCCTGCTCTGAAGAGGCCGACACAGATTTGGATACTAGTTTGCAGAGGGAATTGTGCAGCTCAAAGAAGTGCTTGCGGACTGGCATTTGGAGCTCTAGTTTTGGCGTAAATTCAGTAATCCGCTGTACAGGTGATTTCTCTGGGGGTGCAACAGGGATGGAAAGCTTTGTATCAGGGAGAAGGATTTTGTAGGTGTTGGTGGAAAGTTTAAGACACTGAGGAGGGATGTTTTTGAAATTTAGTTTGCTCTCGGGTGGTTGAGGTGGAGTAATGGATTTGGGTTGAAGTGTGACCTTTTGTTCGTGCAGTCTCCAAGTATCAACCCGAGAAGATGAGTTCATCTGTGCAGTCTCTTCACCAGGTTTGGACTCGCCTGCAGTCTCGTTTTCTAATGAGGGTTTACTTTCAAGTTCATCAGGTTCACATTTCTTTATCACCAACATGGGCCCCCTGCTGGATGAACCGTTCTCTTCAGGCTCTTTTTTGACTGTTACTTTGCAGCAGTCTCTCTGACTGACAGTCTCTGCACAGTTGTCTATGTCTGATGGATCTTCTTTTTCCACTTTAACATTTTTAGGTTCAAAGATTTTCTCAACAGGCTTCTCAGTTGGAGTATCTGCACAGATTTTCTTGGAAACTAGACAGATAGCAGGCTGCTCTTCATCCCAATCTGGCCTTTTCTCTTTGATGTCTGGCTTGGTTTTGACTTCATGGTTCTCGGACAACTGGATAGGGGTTTTCTGAGGTACTCTGCCTGGAAATAACACTCCAGAGGCCTGCAGATATGCTTGGTAAGGTGCTAGACTGAAGACATTGTCAATAACTGGCATGGGAGGAAAGTCAGTTTTCTTTCCCACATGTATGTTCTCCATTTCCACCTTTTGTCTTTTCTTAACTAGTTCCACTTCACATAAATCCCTATCCTCATCTTGTATTTTGATGGGTGAAGATAAATGAGAATTACTTCTCTTCAGGCACCCTTTAAGGACACCGGTGCCTGAAGTGGACACGGAGCTGTTGTGTTTATCTCCCGATGCAACATCAGGGGAATAAATAATTTTGCGGACATTTGAACTATTGGGTACAGCTGTGTGGATTCGATCTGAGCTGTGATGAGGTGACCGGGGCAGCCATGCTGCTGGAGAAATAGGAAGTCCTTTCGACTGGAACTTAACCTGGGCTTCACAGGAGGAATAGTCCAGGAGTCTGTCCATGTTCAAACCAGTTGGTGGAAGGACAGGTCGGTCAATGTGCAAGCTGGTGAGAGGGTGAAAAAATCTGTTCATCTGTATGCTGGATGGTGAGACGCCAGGTTGACTTATGCATCTGGTAGGACTGGTTTGGTCCACACGTAAGAATGGTGAGTTGGGGAGTGATTGGTCAACATGTAGGCTGCCGCTGGGTTTGTCCTTATGTAGGTTGGTTGCCAAGGCCATGCGGTGATCCGTGTAATGGCTGGATGAGGAAACATTTATACGATTCGAGTGCAAGATGGGCGATGCATGTTGCCTTTTTAGGGGGGCTCTGATTTGGCTTGCGTTTAAATGAAATCTAGGAACTGCATAACACGGATAGTCAAACCCCCGCATAAAGGAATGATTTGGCAACCTTTCACTGCTTGGCAAAGGAATTTCACCATGAAGAGAGTGAGGCACTAGGTAATGCTCCCTGGGGTTTGAGACTGTGTGTTTAAGAGGGATGTCTTCTCTCTGTTTACCGCCAATATCTTTACACTGTGTCCTGTTTTCTACCTCCACATTTGCTTGGGGGTAGTAAAACCTCGGGTGCTGTGTTAGCTGGCCATATTTGGACATGGGAGAATGTTCCTGATAAACCTCTGAGGTCATATGCTCATATGTAGGATGGGAGGGGTATAAACTAGGGTAGCCTCTGGGGGAAGTCTGTAAATGCTGCCTCTGCTCACTTAAAGAACCAAAAAGTGAGTGAGTCAGGGTGCAGGGGTAACTGCTGTAGTTTGGCTCAATGATAGCAGGCAAAGTCCTTGTTCTACCTGGGCTGTATGTCTCCACAGGTATCCTCTTCATTGGTTCTGCACTGGCCTCAAACTGTAAACCTCTCTGTTGCAGCAGTGCGTCTTGTGCTTTTCTCTGAATAGGCGTTCTTTCAGTGTAGTGAGCATCAGTTTGCATCCAGTCATGCTTATATACAGTGTTTGGTATCCTCGGAGAGCCGTGTTCCAGACTGTATCGTTGTCCTATCACACAACCCAGTTCATTACAGCAGGGGTTATGTCCATAAACTGGTTTAGGAATCGCTAGGTAAACAGAGTTTTCTGATGAGGGAGATGAATTGTCACCTCCAGTTCTTTGTTCAGTCACTAATGTAGCAGCTGTAGGACTGGTGATCCCAGGACTTTTAGTGTAAAATGTAAAGCCTTTTACTGGGGCGTGATGCAGAGGGGAAGAATGAGAATGGCCTTCCTCTGGAGAACTGCTGTCTTGCCTGTAAATTATGTGGTTTTGTCCCTCCATGCCAGAGAGGTGACTCACAGGACTTCTACCATCCAGCAGAGAGGTCTTTGAGTTGCTACAAGGAGGAGTGAACCGTGCTCCATCCTTTCCTCTGGGATCATAAGTGAAGTAGGACCCACTGTACTGCAGTGCCTGCTTACCGAGGAAATCAGACATATTTTGTGGTTTTGACAGTCCTGTGGATGCTATGGTCCCGTCAAATAATGGCATCTTGCTTCGAAACACTGGGTCAATGAGAGTCTGCTGGCTGCTCATCATGTAGTAACTTTGTTATGATGGTGCAGTGATATGGATCCAGACCTAAGAATATAAAAACAACAATTAATTTATTATCTATGCAAGGTTAGTTCAATGGATCCATCTTTTTAATAAGCTTGAATAAACTCCCATCTCAGGCACCTCAGATAGGACAGCCGGATATGTAGCAGAAAAAATTTACATTTTGCATACATAAAGAGCTGGAGGCATTTTCTCAACATGATGAATCTTGTGGCTTATCAAATGTATGTCACGTACACCCTTGTCAGCAGATGCACATTGGTGAACAGTGCAAAGCTGATTCATAACGCTTATGCAAGGAATATTAGTGAAGGAGATTTTCCGACAGCCAATGTGATAGTTGTCACTTGCAATAAACAAACGAGCCATGTGTGTGATATGCGATTGAAAGCAGTCACTTCGAGGCAATGTCTGCTAATATGAAAATTATAATAGGACTAAATTACTGTAATTCTGTATTTGAGTCATATTTGATGTGTTGTGGTCTTACTATGGCTCATTTCAGATTGCAGAATGTTTCATTCATCACAGTCACTCGAAGAGCTTCAGTCACGCTTTAATCAAACCCGAACTTATCACCTGAACTGACATCCACTGTTCATTTATATCCTGAGACCCAACACTACAGTGGACTGTATGTTTCTATTCTGCTTTTCATCACCACAAACCTCCAGTCATACCATAGTTCCTTTTTCATGCACTTCATACTTAATACAATGACTCACATTTGAGCATCTGGAAACAGTGAATTGAGAAAGGTACTGAAATGATGAATACACGATCAAAATAGTTGCTGATTAATTTTACATTGATATACAGATTATAATAACTGATACATCCATCTACAGCTCATGGCATTTTCAATATAAGTGAAAATTAACCAGTCAAAATTATTTCAGCTTTCCCTGCATTTATTAACACCTTTAAATCATAACAGTTACACATGCTCAACTCTTAATTCTGGCTTTTCCAACAGGCACTTGAAGGCAGCATAATGCAACAACTTGTGTGCACAACACAATCTGTCTGACGTAGGAGGAGAAAGACAGATGACCTCATCACGTGATAAATTCATAACTCTGCCACAAAAGCATCTGAATGAACAGGATGAAACCTTATAAGTGTGTGTGTGTTTTTTAAACTTTTTAGCACTGTTCTCCCACTAGTGGCTAGTTCACTCCCAAAAACAAACAGGTCACAGTGCAAAATATCGCAGCTGTCCTTCGACAAGCAGCCAAATTCAGAGCATAGGCCAAACATCTGCCAATATGTGTTGAAACAGCTGTATAATATCCAACGAAAAAATTTTATAGAAAACTGTATAAAAAATGAAATTATAATAAAATATGAGGCATATAGTCTGTGATGAGGGTGGAGTGAAAGTCTTAGACCCCCCCCCCACAAGACCAAATACAGGCTCTTGCAGCAAACATCAGTAATAGATGATATCAGTTCATCCTGTTGACACCTTTCAGAAAAGCATACAGCGATGGCTTATCTGCATATAGCGAAGAGAAATGTGGTTTTTAGGCCAATGCATGGAGGAAACTGCGCAGAGGTGTTTTCAACGGACAAAAAGCCGCACTCTGAAGTGTGTGTGTGTGTGTGTGTGCGCGCGCTCCCCAGATATGGCAAGGGTGATGGAGAGCGTGACTTCCAAAAGCAAAGCCTCCAAACCGACCAAGGATGAAGCCTACTGACAGGCTGAGTCTCAAACCACGTGGGGTGAAAGAGTGAGTCGGTAAAAATGCACTTCAGTCCAGCCTGTCTTTAAAAGTTACAAAGCATGCATCTGTTGACTAATTTAGTTAACAGATGCATACAGAAAGTTGAAGGTGTCAGAAAGTTCACATGACATGAAAAAAATAATCGTATCTTTACGGTAATTTGCTCTGAAAGTAGCCAATTAAGGGTGACTGGCGTACAGACATAAAAACGGAACTTAATGGGTTTAAAAGTGTCTTCGCAGTTTCTTTTGACAGGCGGACAAGTTATAACCTACGGGGTGCACATTTGCTTATCGGGGGTGTTACACGGAAAGACGTGAGCTTTTTGTCCTGACTGCGTGAACAGCCTGCTCGAATTAATAATAACACGCAAATAATATGAAAATCACACACGCGCAAGAGCTTGATCACAGTGCGAGTCATTTACATACAGGCAGCGACAGCGTCATGAACCACGGTAAAATTAAAACCACACTGTGGGCTAAAAAAAACACAGTTTCAAACATTTATCCTGCATATTGGTTTTGCTACATAAAATAGTTTCACAACCTGCCATTCTTTCCTAGAAGACACTCTCGCGTGTTTGCCAAATTAAACACGACTTTGTTTGTTTGTTTGTTTCGCAATCTGTCGTTAATTTGGACATGTGAGAAAATGAGCAGTAAACATGTTGTTTTTTGTCTTACCTCGCTGCTGTGATGACAATAAATGATTTCCACAAAGACTCCATGAAACAGAACTTCTTAGAAAAAAATAGAGGGGGGAAGTCTCTTCTCTGTTTGTTTGTGGACTGTGTCAATCCGGATGCGCCCAAAGCCACGAAATAAAATGAAGGCCAGCCAAAAGGTTTGGGTGGCTCGCCCGAAGTCCACGCGGCTTTTAGAGAAGTTAACAAACCGAAGAAAAGACAAAAGGGAGGAGGATGGTCTTTGATCAATAGGCGGAGTCATACCCTCTGTCTATACACAGCTTGTTTTCTACACATGTAGGCTAATCTTTTCCCGCTGATCACGTTCTCACTGTTGTTTCCTTATGACCGACTCCCCATGCCACCTGAAGGGAAGCTAGACATGTTTTTATTCATTCATTAACAGATAAGACAAGTGTGTGTGTGTGTGTGTGTGTGTGTGTGTGAGCGCGCCTGTGAGCGCGCCCGCGCGCGCTATTGGTTTGTGTTGCCTGATTTTTCACTTTCACTGTTCCCAAGAGTTTTGGTGGGGGTCACCAAAAATAAGAAAAAAGTCACTATTATTTCACTCCATGTAAATTAACATAAAACATCAGCTTTTAGAAAGTCTGTCTGCATGCATCACTTTCCACTTCTTTCTTCTTCTTTTTTATTTGTTGATCACATAGCAAACAAACTATTTGGGTACCCCTGACCTAGATGAAGTTGTCCCACTGCACTTTTACAACAATGTCTCTCATCTATATTACAGAATCATGGAATGTATTCAGTTAAGGATGAGGTATTAGCTTACATTAATAAAAACATAACATAACATAGACAAAATACTGCTGTGAAGGATGGCTCTAGCACAGAACCACCATGCCTTGCCCTCAACCTAATGTAGTTAATGATTGACTTTAGTTGACCAAAGTTAAAATCAGGTCAGCCATTACCCCAGTCAAACTGTTTTACCTCTTGTCATATCCCATATTTGACCTGTCACCGAGTTTGCCCATGAGCCTTGACGATAGACTATGTCCTTGACATGCATCTGTGTGTACAACATAATTGATTTACACTCTAATAGTAGCTGTAAAGTAATAGTAATGTTCGATTTCCTCATACTTAAGATCATAAAGATCTTTATGGTGAGATACAGGCATTGCAACATTATTGTGAACCTAAATTCTTCCACTTGCTTGATTTACCCTCTGGATGAGTAAATTTCTTCTTGCGCTTGCATCATACCAGTCCCTCTTCACCTGTGAGTTGGAGTCTAATTTGTGTGTCCTGTGGGAGTGCCACAGTTTGGTCTAGACAAGTTGGTGGCTTCCGTCAGTCCCTGTGGTCTCACAGGTAAAGAGAAGCTCGTCGCGGGGGTTTGACAGAGGAGAGAAGGCAGGTACTTTTCCCCACGGAACACTTTCACATCTCCCCTATTTCCAGTTACCATGGAATTACATCTTAGGGCCAACCAACACAGAGCATCAAGGGGCTAACAGTGTGCCATATGGGTACAGCAACACAAATCTTCAAACATACAATGCAAAGTGACACATTTAACACATACTGTGTTGTACTCTGTCGTGATTATGTGTTTCTAAACTGGCAAGGTAAATAGACATAGACAGGCGGTGCAGCTTTCTCCGACATAAAGCTGTAGCCAGAGACAAATGGTTTTCAGAAAAGGTCAGAAACACCCAGACTTATTGCTGGTAGCCCCAAGGAGGGATTATACAGAGTGAAGAGATTATCTGATTTCCTTTTTTCTTTTAAAGTGATCTGCCACCTCTTAATTCCTGATACTTTGACAAATAATTACTGACAGCATAGTTGGCAGTTAAACTGTTAATGGTCTGTGAAACTTGTCTGTGAAATATCTAATATTATTAAATAGATATTAATAATAATCCATGGCAAACCATTTTTCAGGTAAACAAATAATGGCAAAGAAGGGTTTGTCTTTCCTTGGGGCTATCAACATGAATAATATTTTCTGGTCAAAGCCTTTAGATCGTGGATACGAACAAAGAGTTGCAGTTTTATGGTGATGCGTACAAATAAAAAAAAATTAAAAACTAGTTTGCCAGTTGATTGTTTTTGTTCCTTGTGGATCTAAGATTTACTATTTTCACAGGCAAGTGTGCAATATAATAGTTTCACAGGACTTTTATTAGGTAGCTTATTGTAAATATTAAATAGTTCTAATAACAACAACTTAACTTTATAATTGTTATTGTATGTAACAGTACAATACGTACATAAAGTACACATACTAGAATAAATATATAAAGAACAATATGTCACATGTTGTACAAGACAAATGCAATTCATTGATTTCTACTTGCTCATGAGTGAATCCACGAGGTGTTTACCACTTTTAAACGTCTTCTGAGAGTCAATGAGGTGAGTTGTGGTGACACAGGGAGTAGAGCAGCTGATCTCTCAGGATGTTGTTTCTGATGAAACACTGCTGAATATTCCCAGAGGCCACAAACTAGATTGAGGCTGCTCGAGTTACAACACACGAGATGTATGTGGACCTGAACGTGCACACATATTGACACAGTGAACAACATATCATCTTGCTGTACTGCATATTTGATGTCCCATATCTATACAGTATAGTGTATAGACTATGCTCACTATGAAAAGTCTGAATTGTGCAATGTGGACGGCTGACCATACAAAGTCAGTCTCTTTTTTTATCGCTTGCCGCTGAGGTACTGCACATGTACATTTCATTTTCAGTCACTCCACTGCAACTTTTCATCTAGAGTACAATTAACAAATCCACTAATACACATCACAGCTGAAGTTAATATTTAACTTAATCCTACAGAAAGCTAACCTACAACTGTCTATCATAGCAAATTTTGCTATATGATGCAGTGTCTGTGTATATTCTGGTTCATAATAGCAAATAAGTATAAAAAACAAATTAATTATAATTATATTATTATATAATTTTTTGTATTAAATTAGGGTTGTGTCCAGTTATAATGGCGTTGATCAAAAACTGGAGCTTCATGCTCAGTGTGACAGCTGACTATTTAGTTTCTTTCACATTTCTACTGTTAAAGCGTCCAAACATCCTCACATCTCTAATTTAAATCTTGTACCTACAGTGTACAATCCAATAACTACTAAGCCTTAGATGTCCCATAACCACTTATAACCTTGGCAGAACTAGTTTCAGGCACAATGTGCCTTTAAAACAGAACAAACTATAATCAAGCTGATTCTTTCATTCCCCTTGGAAGTTTTAAAGCTTTACCATCTGATTTCGCTTTTGCCTCCTGATATTCATTTTATTAAATCTACTTTTGTCACTAAGACATGTTGTTCTTGTTTGCTGGCTGTTTGACTATGACTGTTTCTTATTCTTGAGTCTCTTGATGTCAATGAGACTACCTGATTTAATAAAGTGACTTGTACGTGAATGTAGCCAGTATAAAGGAGTAATGGATTTCAAAAACGTTTAATTATTACATGAGAATAATAATAATTGGTTATCCATCAAATGTAATTGAGCTAATCTTTAAATTTAATTGAATTTAACTAAGTAACGTTGGTGATCATTAGTGACAGTGAGGTATGATGGCAGTGCGGTGATTCAGTTGGTATGCTGCTGGATCAGTCTCTTGTAGACGTGATTTATCATGTTTAGTCACATTGGCCTTCATTTACAAATTGTATTTATATTAGAATTTCTGGGATTCACAGTTTTGACCAAAAAGAGGTTTGATAAAGGTGAGAGTTCAATAATATTTTTGCGAGAAGAGTTCAGTAAGTTCTTGAAGTAAACATCTTTGGACAAACAGGTATTGAAGAGACAGTAGAGAAAAGTCGCATGTTTAGTCTTGAAAGCGTACGTGTGATTTGACTTTCACCTTGCATCGGATTACAGCCTATCTGAAGTTTTGATGATTTGTCCCTCGTTGTAAGAACATCGTGCTTATTCCCATTAGGCACACCTGCAGGCAGCACACTCCTCCACAGAGCTGCCAAGGCCTTGATGACACTCCCCCTCTTGCTATGGCTGATGTAATGTTCCTCTAGCATCGTTAATAGAATCACTCAGCAGCCAATAGCAGCAGGACAAGTTATGGCTCAGGGAAGGATGCTTTTTACTTGGCGAGCCATTCACATGGCTCCATGTGCTGCAACCTCGACGGTTCAACAGTATCAATGCCTCTGGTTATTTGCAAACCAAATTTCCCCTGCCTCCCTTGGATTCGGTGGGAACGGAGATAAACTAAGATAATCTGGAAAGCATAGAAAAAAACAAACATACACAGCACAAATGTCTCTCAGGGAAGAGGAATTTCAGTGCTTTGGAAATATGTGCATGACAAAAATACAATTTACGATTCACTAGTGATGTGTGTGATCAGGAAGACTTCTGTTTTTTTTCAATAGTGCTGTGAAACAATAAAAGGCATATAACTGTGAGATAGAATAATTTAAATAATCAACTTTATACAGTGGTGAGTTAGATTGTATTCGTAAATCTGAATCTGTTGTTGAAACTGATAAGAAACAGGCAGCCTAAAGTGCTGTGTCTACTTGTCCAACATTATAATATTGCAGAAGAGACATAATACTAATAATATTACCGTTGTTTTCAAAGTGCTATGACAGACAAACATACCCTCCACGTACAAGGTTCAATCCCTTTACGTTTATTACAAGTAAAGACAGTTGTTACTGTCTGCTTCCACTCAGTAATAAAAACAAACCATTGTTTATATTATTGTGATTTTGTTCGACATGCTCTCGTCTGTCTCCTCTTGATACAATCCAGACTGCTGCATTTCACTTTGTTAGGGGACGGAGGGTTTTCACAAAGATTAACATGTCTAAACACTATGTGAATCATGGGTTTCATCACTTTTGACCTTAGGTGCGTGGAGTAGCATACATCTCTACTCTAACAATATTATCAGGACATTTTTCAAAAATATTAAACATAAATATTGTCTGCACAAATAAAATAAGAGTATATTTTTACTAAAATAAGACACTACTGGTACCAAATGGTCACTCAGTCTGGGATATCCATACCTAACACCCATACAGTTGACATTTGTATGTTATGTGTCCTGCTGTATAGCCAGTCTGTCAAAGTGCCTTGTGGGAAAAGAGTTTCCGTTGCTTTGTCTCACATAATTAACCCCAAAGGATCTCTAACAGCTTCTATAGAGAAGAATATTGTTCACACTAAAATGACTTGATAAGCACATGCATTTAAGGACTTTTAATAGCATAATGACCCGTTTGCTGAAGTACACTGCTGTTGTTTTAAGCAGTTTACATTTGTTTTCTCTACAAACTACAGAATGTTTGAAATTGTGACATTTTGCTATTAAGAAAAACAAAGTCACTCACAAGCATTGTTGAAACTTTAATTTGCAATGAAAAACCAAATTTCTTTCACCTTTAACATTCTGTTGTCAAAGACAAGGCCTATCAATGCTAACAGCCCAAGAATTACCATCACATTTCTCTCCATTAAGTTGTTATTTTATTTGACAAAGCACGATATTCCCATTCCCCACCCAAACCGTGTTCTTTGTTCAGCTATACTTAACACAAAATAAACAGTCACAAGGAAGTTTAGAGGAACCAAACTTTTTTTCCTGATTGCCAAATGGAGCACATCATAAAACAGGTTTGTCATAATGTCCATTCAACCACACACCTTTCACAATGTTGGCAGTAATGCACAACTTCATTGCCCTTCACTTTTAAAGACAAAGCCAAGGAAGAGATGTACAGTAAGCATTTTTAGCATTGGAAGGCAGACTATAAACAGATGCATTTCAGCGCAGATGACAGATGTTTAGACAGAAGTGTAAACAGAAAACTGTCAACTTCATTTTTTAAACTTACCCACATAAGCTCGATGACATGAAACGCTGCTTTGTAAACGACAGAAATATACTCACGTTTCAGTGAGATTAATCATCACTGCAGAAAAGGGGAGGGGCTTAAATGACAAGATCAGCTGAGAGGTATTCCCTTTTCAACAAGCCATGAATCATGTCAGTATCACGATGAATAGATGACACATAAAATACAGCAACCACCTGTTGGCTCTTATAGCTGCAGGTAAAAGTTAAGGTCTTGCACCCCCACACAAGTCTTATTCTGCCTGGTGAGGTTGCACTTGGATTGAGCTGTGCTAGCAATTACTTGAGGCCTCCAAAGTCCATGTACTAATAAGAAGGGTAAAGGTGCATGTTGCCCTGCCCAAACAGGTTCAAAAAACAAATAAACAGAAGAGACACAGAGATGCCAATCAATGACTGTATATCTGTACACAGCCACACAATCCCAATAAGAGCACTTAACAGGTGTGAAATAGGTGAAAGAAATTGTGTTTATCATGGGTGTGTAGGGTGTTGAAGGTTTGGATAGAAATTCCTTTTGAAGACAAGTCATCATGTTTACTATCTATTTGTCTTTGAGGCCAGCAGAATCTGCAACATGATCTGATGTGCATGACTTCTGAGATGACTCATTTGATTTCTGAAGATACTGTTCTACAACGCTGACAATAGTCGACACCTCCGCCATGGCCCCTTTACCTGTAATAAAGTAAAGAATTGCCAAGTGACACAAACACCTTCTGTAGGGAAGATTAGTCAGTGGCCTGAAAGCAACGATACAAAGAATACACATACACACTTCTCATGCACATTTGCATACTCACATATACACCTACATAAACATAATATCTTGTACACTCCCAGGCTTTGCATAACTAAATCTATGCTGGGTTATTTAAGTGTGTTGTTCAGATAGATGTGTTGTACACAGACTGATCTCCTGATACTGTTAATGCAAACTTCTTACACCCCTGCTGCAAATGATTCAAAGTAAAAGTTTTCCAGAGCAGATATCTATTAGTCTATGGCTCCGACAGTGAAGCCACTGCAGAAAGTTAACATTTACAGTCATCGAAGTGAATGTTGCAAAACTATGGAAGCCATTTTAACATTTATTCCTTAAAACTTACTACTCGCTACAAGCAACTAATACTTATTTATTAGTTACTAGCAACTATTCCCGTTTTACTAGTATCAATTGATTAGATAGTAGTACTTCATTTTTTGTTCAGTTAACTAACTTTTCCGTTAGTTACTTCCAGATTTTTGCCACTGAAATCAATGGGCCTCTCCAGTTCAGATATCACCTAATCATTAGTTAAGTAGGGTGGGCATTCAAAAATTTTCAACTTAAAACCAGACTGAAAAGCCATATTTTACTGCTCTCCCTGGTTGCAAGTTTGAAGTCTGTTGCACCCATCTGAAAATAACCAGCATCACTGCTGGTGTGGTCAGAGGGGAGTCAGAAGTGTGCTCTGCTTCATCTTAAACTACACTCAACAGAGATGCCAGTGTACTGACACCCTGGAGCACAGCTTTACATCATTGCAGAAAGGTGAAAAGTCATGAGATCCACCGGAAGAAAGGATTTTGAATGAATTAACAGCAACAGTCAGCTTACACATATGGACATTTGATGACCAGAGGAAAAATATGGAGTGGAACTAAGCTGAATGAACATGATTTATGAAGGGAAATTAAAAAACAAGAGTTTGATAATTATATTGTGCTGACCTGAATAATTTCCTTTCTTTCAATCGAATTCAAGTGGGCTACTTTTTTAATTGTTTCTCCATATATTCAATGATTTCAGTCCATTTACATGTGGTGAACTTTATTTTGGCTTTTGAAGAGGGGCATAACAGACAAAGTTTGAGAAGTTTAAAAACCACTGTTTTAGACCATTGATATATGATATATCCTGTATTTGTACGCACTACTCTCTTTCAGTACCATTTCCACACCTGTCTGCATCTGCACCGTCTTGTATTTAGCTAATTCTGCTTATTTTATAATTACTTTCCTGATGAGTCATTTAAGGTACAAATTAATTCTACATACTTACAAACTGATATGGTAATAATAAATAAATTGAAAAGACTATAATGCAGATAGAAAGTATAGAATGGGAGCTAGAATTTGTCAGGTCATGTTTAATTTTCATGTTTCCGATTTATTGTTATTGTTTTGGTCAAACCAACAGGGTTCTGCATTTTGAGATTTCATAAGGTAAAAGTAAATATTGGTAGATACCTAATATCTTTCCCCCCCCCCCCTATTATTAAAACCCACCTTCATCTCCACACACTAGCTTCTTAGCAATGCAGGGTATTTCCACATATCCAAACTCTGTCAGCCTGGATACTTGCTGGGCTGTAATGGGATGCTGCCACATTGCTGTATTCATTGCAGGGCAGAAGAGGAGAGGGCGACTGGTATCCCATGCTCTTACCACACATGTCTGCCAATGACAAAGACTAATCAACTTCAAAATAAATTTCAAATTGCGTAATGAATGTAGCCAATAATAATTGGCTAAAACATTTTGTAAGTAATTGGATAATAATTTGATGTTCTCACCAGCAGATTGTCACAAATGCCATTAGCAATCTTTCCAAGAGTGTTGGCATCAAGGGGGGCAATGACAAGTAGGTCTGCCCAGCGCCTTAGCTCAATGTGTAGCACAGGGTCAGATCTCTGAGTCCACAGCTAGAACAGAGACATGTTGTTAGGCCCACAACCAATTTGACACTCACTTCGTCTTCCTTTCAGGAATGCGTGACACTGTGGACCAGGATTTCTCAATCTTTTCTGGCTGATGACCTCAGCAGCTGGAATGCTGTCAAGTACTCACTTTTTTACAATTTTTGAAGCATGAATGGAGCTTCAAATGGACTGAATGAAAAGTATGAAACACTGCATATCTGTTTTACTTAAAAATCCACAGATTATTAAAAGATACATTTTTGAAAAATCTTCCACAATCCAGTCATCTTATCTGTGGCAACAAGTCTGAGAAACTCTGCTATTCGCAGTCAGTCAATAAGGGCTGTACTAAATTTGATATTATTGACATTTAGTTCAATGTTACCTCCCACTCATCCTTGTCACTGTAGATGTTTACTGAAACCTCTGAAGGATTGTAGAAGTGCTTAGCATGCTCTGTGGTGACCACTCTTACATCCACCTAAAGCATAAAACAAGTGACAATCACAGGACTTAAAAAAAAAAAGAAAAAAAAAGCATTTCTAGCATTGCCATGGTGCTGAGGAGATGACTACAAACGGCAAGTAACTGATCTTTTTCTTAGAGACAGTTTTATGGGTCTAACGTTTTAGCACACCTCAGCAACTATTACAGAATTGTGTTGTCAGATTTGCACAGTAACAGTGGGCATTGTAGTTTTGACTTCATTTCTCAGGACTATATTACCTGTATCCAGCAGAATCTTTCTGTAATATTTAATTTCATTATAATCATCATTTTCACAAACATCCATTGCTTTTTGCAGTTACCAGAGTTTGAGTTTCTCCCTCTCTCTCTCTTTCTTTAATATTCACTGTGAATATTAAGGCTGTAAAGCTAAGTACACCTGTTACACAATATACAGTCCTAACAATGTCTTTACTTTATGTAGAGCAAAACATTTGACACAATAATCCAGACACCGTCACTTCAAGGTTTTTCACTTCTCGTTTTAGTTTCCGTTGACAGCCTATTTAGGGTTCTCATTAATATGCAGCTTTTTCTGTGTGCTGATGAAACTGAAGTCACTGTTTCTTTAGTTTAATCCCACTGTACTTTGTGAGGCTTCAGATGGAAAGAACTTTATCTGAAAGTAAAATAACAATGCTATAGCTGGATAAAAGAGGCCTATAATAACAAGATTATACTGCTGCGTTGTGGTGTTTTTTTAGACATCTGCCTGTTACAGCTGCTACATCTCCATCTTGCGGTTTATGTCAGCTCTGCCCGCCCCGCCAGGTTGAGAAGCAATACTGTTTGCAGGCGCATGGGCAAATACTTGGAGCATATAACAGAGACAGACGGGAGAAACTGTAATTAAAATCCGTCTCTGAATAAAAATGTATAAATACGAAGCAGCTCACCCCAGGGAGCTGAAGAAGCTGGGATACCAAAAGAGGCAGTTTCAAGGTTGCAACGCTTCCCGTCACGCCAACAAGAACACGAAACGTCCCACAAGATTTCAACAAATCAGTCTTTAGACAAGAAATATGATTGTCTGTCTGCATATTCGCATAGCAGCAAGAAGAGATCAATAAACTACCTTGTCGTGGCCCAGTAAAACGCTTCAACTTAACTACTTCCGTAAATATTCATCCCCAGCCAATCAGGGGATAGCACAGCCAACGCCTTCTCCTGCCCGAGCACGTCTCCACGCAGGACAGATGGCGAGCGCGCACGTACGCAGAATATTCTGGGTATTTGGTGAAGCTTTCCAGGACGGCTAGCATGAACCGAGGAGCCTTCATTCATAATCCGCTCAGCCTGATATTTGTTTTAAACAAAGCTCAATAAAAAAATTTAAAAATACGATACAATGACACTCACACCTCTGGTTTACTGGGCTCAACGCCATGAAGAGATTTACCTGCGAGTGGAGCTGACAGACGCTCAGGTGAGGTAACAAGAGTGTTAACGTTACCGAAGACCCTCTGGGTTAACTTAAACTGCAGCATGTACTCCCTTTTAATCAGGAAATGGCTTTAAGGTAGTTCTGTCTGACCGGCTTGGGCACCATTTCGTGCCTCTAAAGGTAGTAATGCAAATAAAGAGTGCATGTTCTTGTAAATGCTACCCCGCTGGATAGCTGTACACTTTGCATACTGGATGACAAATAACGATAGAGAGATCCTTTAAGGTGATAAATGATATTTACAAAGCCCCTTGATCTATCTGGTTCTGTGGTTTGTATGACGCTGTATATTGTTGTAATGTTCACTGTGCAGTAAACCGTAACACAGAGCTGATTCAGGGTGGGGACTGTGTGAATTTCCACAAGAGTTTCTTCATACAAGGAAAATATTCTGGCTGGTAATTAAATGTCACTATTTTTGATAGATTGTTATGGTAACCTTAGCTTGACTGTTATTAGGTCTAACTTTAAATGTTTTATTTTTTACGGTAACGGTATTATGCTTGAATTCTCACTCTGTAGGAGGAAGTAAGCTCATCATCTGCTTCTTCGTTTCATTTTGCAGAATATTGATGTCCATGTACATGAAGGAGTGCTTCAGTTTAGAGGTGACATACATTTCATGTTCATTTGACTGTCTAAATATTTGAAAAAAGATCATGATTTGTGACATTTCTCATGGTATTTTGTGTGTAGCCCAGGGCCATGGTGCAAAAGGACAAAATGAGTATGAGTTCAGCTTGGAGTTGCTTTCACCAGTAAAGCCAGAGGTATGTATCCATGTCAAAAATCCAAATGGTAGCTACTGCTCCTATGCCCTCTAGTTTTGCTGACTGTGCTCATCAAATGAACTTGTGTTCTCAGGTGAGCCACAAGTCCACGCAGAGACAGGTGAATATTACAGTGCGGAAAGAGCAGCGAGGTTGGTGGGAAAGACTAACGGTACAGGAGCGCAAACCAGTCTTTCTGATACCTGACTTTGACCGCTGGCTGGACGAGTCAGACGCTGAGATGGAGATCCGGGAAAAGGTGAGATTAAAATTTTGATGAGTGGGACATTTTGCGTAGACAATTGTATTTAAAAAACATACTCAATATTGCAAAAAGTCAATATGACCATGATCAGAACTAAGACGGTACTATTGATACCAAACGCAAATATTGAACACTTATTTTATTTTAAAATATATTTTCTTTTTTTACATTGAAAAGGAGGAGAAGCGGAATAGGATGAAGGCTTTGAGGCATAAAGAGGAAGGTGAGTACAAATCTTTGGATGTTTCTGGATGTTTCTCTAAAGTCTAACAATTTTGTTCCCACATTTTGCTAAAGAGGGTTTTTTTAGCAGCATATTTTAGTCAAATCACATCAGTTGCCTAAATTATTATTTATTATGTTTCAGGGTTTGTCAGCCTGAAAACTGGATTTTTGTTTGTATATAACCTGGTACAGTTTCTTGGTTTTTCATGGATCTTTGTCAACATGACTGTGCGGCTCTTTATCTTTGGCCAAGGTGAGGAAATTTCTCGTTGTTTTGTATCATTGATCAGTTTCATCCCAAAAACCTGGTAAGACCGATCATGTACATAACAATGCTGTCATTTCAGATTCCCTCTACGACACATTTCACACCATATCGGACGTGATGTTCTTCTGCCAGATCCTGGCAGCAGTAGAGGTCCTCAACGCTGCTTTTGGTGTAGTCCGGACAGGTGTTATTCCAACTCTTATACAGGTAGCCAGAGTTTGAATTTCAAGATATCCAGTGACACCAAATGGAGTGCCGATACATCGAGTGTTTTTACTAATTTATTATTACATGCTTTGTTCTTTTACTAGGTGGTTGGACGGAATTTTATCCTCTTCATCATTTTTGGTAGTTTGGAAGAAATGCACAACCAGCCAGTTGTGTTCTTTGTTTTCTATCTGTGGAGCGCCATTGAGATTTTTAGGCAAGTATGCATCTACCTTGTCATTGTTCATGGTGAACAGTCATGTAAATGGACTTTGTAAAGATTTATGATTATTTTCAGTTTTCTGTGTCACAGAAATCACAACAAAAGTTCTTTAAATGGACAAACGTTTGCTGAATTGTGGATTTTTCATGCAATTTTGTCGTCGATAACATTTAGAATTTAACAATATTGTTAATTTGAGATTATTACTGGATTATTACTTTTTTTGCTTGATTCTGCTAACTCAGAAACTCAAGAAAATAATCAGCAGATTAAGTGATAGGTAATTGTTAGTTGTAGCCATACAACAAATGCTGAAACTGTTGGGAGTATGGTATCCGTGTCATTAACTGTTGACACAACAAGCACACTGCCAGTAAAAGGGCTCAATGCAAATCTGCTCAGAGCAGCAGCATCACTTCAAGAGTAACTACAGTCTGCAGAAAGCAGCTAACGGGTGCAGCAGTTGGTGTTACAAGGGTCAGCATTACAGCGAGTCATTTCAGCTGCATTGTTATGACGATGGACTGTTATTGATGCAGCCTTGTGTCAATTAATTAATAGCAACAAAAGCGCCTTTTGTTTCCACCCTAAAAGTAACACGATGCTCCAATTTCAGATATCCGTTTTACATGCTGGGCTGTTTCAATACAGAGTGGAAAACTCTCACATGGCTGCGGTACACAATTTGGATACCACTGTACCCATTAGGTGTTATAGCTGAAGGTGAGCATGTTTACCACTCTCAGAATTACTAATTTTTCACACATACATGTTAAAATGCATCTCATCTGCCAATCCCATGTAGCTGTTGCTGTGATACAATCCATTCCTATCTTTGACGAGACCAAGCTCCTCAGCATTCCTCTGCCAAAGGCCATCGGTACCTCGATCAGCTTCTCATACTTCCTGCACATTTATCTTGTTCTCATGTTTCTAGGTAAGTTTCCAGATAAAACATTAATCCAATACATATCTTTGAACAAATATTCCCCCCCCCGATATCAACCTCTTGGTTTGTTTACGCCCCCCTCTTCAGGACTTTTTATCAACTTCCGTCATCTTTACAAGCAGAGGAAGAGGCGTTTCCATACCAAGAAGAGGAAAGCAAATTGAGATTCAGCGCCAACAAAACACCTTTGCTGCCTGCGTGTTTTTGGAGAACATTCTAAATGATTCTCATAAATCATGCACCAGTCAAATCAGTTCTAGTTTTTGTTAAAGTTGTTTTTGCTTTCACTAAGAGTTTCATTCATGGTCATCATGAAAAAGAGGATGCAGTATTTCATAATTGACGGTCTAATTTAGTAGTGATTGAGTTATCTGTATTTTGTAGATTAGTGAAGAGCTGTAAGTTGATATCCTGTGTGATACTCTTCTTTCCCCTTTCAATCTTTTTTTTTTTTTTTTTTAATGCAGTGGAATTTGTTGCTGAATGAATTGCAACAAGCACTGATAAGGAAACCCTGCTGTTATTTTATATATGGTGATTTGTTTACAAATGAAGAATGAAACAACATTCTCAACCAATACTGTATTTGTTATTCCAGATTTCTTAACTGTCCCACAAACCTCAGGGGAAACTGTTAAAATACAGAGAGCATATTGTGTCCCTTATGCTCAACAATAAGATTTGTATCATTTTCACGTTTCTTCTGGACATTGTCATTTCCCAGGTTTCCTGTAACTCCTGCAGTTATTTGACACTGAATAAAAATAAAAATTTTAATCTTGTCAATTTATGGAAAAGACAACAATTGAACATGTAAAAATATGTACATGCTATCATCTTACAAATGTTAAACATTTTAGTTTAAGCAGTGTCAAAGAACGGGTCTAAGTTATTGGACCCATTTAGGTTCCTTAAGTAGCTCTCTCAATGAGTTCTTTAAACAACATTCAGCGTGCGCACACACACACACACACACATATACACACACGTGCTGTTCCCCACGTTGGTCCACACAGGCTGATGCTCCATTTTCCCCTCATTCACTAACTCAGCTTGAGAAGTCTGTGTGCATAGGAACAATGATGTGATCAAAAGCAGCATGCTGGTTGTCACCAGTGCTGGCCAGTTTAAGTTGCTGTGCAGCGTGGGAGAGCTGGAAAGCGGCATCCGGATGGGCTGAGTCAGGCAGCAGGGTGCACTCCCTCTCCAGCAGATCGGCCACTCCCTTCAGGAGCTCCCAGAAACCAAAAGCCAAGGCAGCCTTCCGAAGGCGGTTCAGCTCCTGATAGATTTAAATGAAAAATGGTCATTTAAATTATGAAAAACATCATAGTTCAATATCCTACTTCAGAGACATTTTCAGGAAATGTTACCTTATAGAAAGTTTGAGTTTTATCTGGCAATTTCCTTGCATTCCTCAGGATCTTCTGCACATCAGTCTGTGGAATGGCAGCATAAATAACTTGAGTCAGATCACCAGAAATGACCCTCAAAAATGATTTGACTGTTACACAGTTACACAGTTACAATCCTAAAACTGAGGAACAATCATTCAAGTATTCTTTCAAACTGAACACATGGTTAAGGATCTAACTGTACTTCTCAATAAAGCAGTCTTGTGCCACCTTCACGTTATATGGCATGGATGGTAGGGATAGGAAAAATTCACATAAAGGACCTAGCTGCACTGCATTAAGGGAAACAGTCCCTCCAGTTTCTCTGAAGTACCATGGCATGTGCACTTTTGGAGCACAAATTCTGAAAAACACTTTGTAAAAATTACCCCAATCAACCATCATTTCTCCAAAGACTTTAGTTAACAACTGTGCCTTTATACAGTGATTTGACTGTACCTGTAGTCCACTGGCCTTAATCCACACAGTGACATTCTGGGCATAGCTTCGTTTGACCTGGGGCTGCACAGGGAAAGGACTTTTACTGTCGTCCTCGCCATAGGGATTTTCAGCAGCCTCTGAAATACCAGAAAGGTCATGAAACAGAAAAGTCAGTATCATGATTAAAGTAGGCAAACTTTGTAATAAAACTGTAAATTATTAACTAATTGATTATGTACACATACAGAGAGGCATTTGCTCTTTTTCAGTACAATGTTTGGTGTGTCAGAAGTTACATTAAGGTTGAGTTTCTACAATACTGCAAACATGTCATACTCTTAAAATGTTGCAGTCAGAAACAAGAAACTAGCAAAGATGTTATGAACAGTATGCTAAGGACACCCTGTAGACCTTTGTTGTAAACATGTCAAATCCTGTTTGCTTGTTTGACATGTGTCTGCAGAGAAACAAAACACAGTGAAGGGGTGTGAGGTTACCTGATATTGGTCCCAAATGGGAGATCTTGCCCAACCAAGGCAGAGGCTCTGGACCAGGCTCAAACAGAGACATCATCAGGTTCGATTTCTTCTTGCTGTCGGCTTGGGAGTACAGCATGCCGTACCACTCTGGCCTGGGAAAAAGAAAACTAGATTTAGACCATTTCCAAAATAAAATCTATTCAATTTGTTTTACTCTACAGGTGCCTTAATTTTGCACTAAATTCTGAGTATAACAAAATTTCAAATATGCTAATGATAAACAGATCTGTTGCATCTCACCCAAGCTGGACCAGTGCCACCATGCCCTCAACTTTGAGACTTCCATGTAAAAGTACACAAAAATTTGGACTTTTGCCTGCCATTTGACTGGCTGAGGGTTCCTCCTCAAGCTCATCTGCGGCTCCTGCGCCAACTTCATCCACTTCTGAAATGAAGTACAAATAAATAATATGCATATGTCAATAAGACATATGCATGCTGTTTTTCTTGAAAACAACATAGAACACCACCAACCTTTGTTTACAGCTATAGGCAGTACCAAGTGTCTGGATATAACAGGAGGACTGGAAATGTCAGCAATTTCAATAAAGCCCACAATTTCCAAATCTGAAACATATAGAACAGGATGAAGTTATGTTAGGTGTGCAGGGAAAAAAATAATTTAAATTTCATCATTAAGTTCGAAGCTAGCTGGTTACCTGTACTGACTGTTCGGGGCATGGGCTCCACCTCTTCATCCATCACAACAGGCTCAGGTCGAGGGAAAACCTGAACGTCTGAGGACAGGTTCCCACAGTGGAGGACAGCATGGAAGGGAGAGTATGCGTGATCAATCAGCCTCCTGAAAACATCCAAAGACATACAGTGACCAAAGTTTCCTTAGTAAACATATAAAAGATGGATTAATTTCCCAGTGAGAGTCATACCCAAACATAGCTTGCACACTCTTCATGCAAAGTGGTCCCTCCGTAGTGAAGATCTGCCCATCACCTCCACTGAGACGAAGTAGCTCCTCCAAGTTGTCCATGGCATCAGTCATCTGTAACTGCAATTACACGGGACAGGGGGATGCATTTGTCACAGTTACTTGCCATAAGCTTAAATTTTACACGGATGCAATAGAAACCTCCTGGTCACACCACAGAAAACTGTTGCTATTTAGATACAAATGACACAAAACATTATTGTGTGCAAGACACCTATGAGGTTGTGTTCATATTTTTGTTACACTAAAATACATAAGCACTGGAGAAAAAAAAAAAATCAAATATGTTCTCTTTGAGTTTCTTGGCTCAAAAATGCAGGTAGTAACAACTGTCATTCTCTTATATTAAGATTTATTGAACAATATCTAAAGACATAAAGGCCCAGTAGAGGCAATCACCTTAGATCTTGTTTATGACCAGCTGCCTCTCGTTTACTCTTTTTTTCTCCTCTCTGGTTTTACACTGACTGTGTTAACATCAAGATGCAAGTAAATAGAAATTAACTGTTGAACAGCCAGCAAAAAAAGGGTGGCTCGGTACCTCCTCCGCATTGGCTACACACATGATGAACAGTTTGGTAGGGAAAGGGAAAGGGAGTGGGAACTTCTTGTCATCCCCACGCTGCTTCAGTGTTTGTAGGGAGTGCCTTAGCGAACCTTTTCCAATACCAAGAGATCCATCTGTAACCAGCACCACCTAAAGGACAAAGGAAGGCGGTACATAAACATAATCCTATGTTACAATTAACATGTAGCTGAGATCACTATGGAAAATGATTTCACTGCATACCAGCTTTATTTTTATCAACAATACATTTAGAGGTGTGATAAGAGTGTATCAACGAGAAAGACTTGTCAAAATACCTGACAGGGACAGGCACTGCCCCACTCCTGCTGTACGACGTTACTAACTCCATTAAGGGCTGATTCAACACAGGTCTTGTCATAGTCTTCCAGGTTGCTCAGAGCCTCCTGCACAGAAAAAAAAGAAAAGAAAATGTATTAGATAATCCTTCAACTCTTCTCCAGACAGTCAGACTCTTCATCTCAGGCAGTGACTCAGAAGAAAGAAGAAAACGTGCTTTTATTCACCTATAATAATAATAATAATAATAATAATAATAATAATATATAAAACATATAATAAGCATACAATATAAAAGGCACACCTTACCTGTAATGCATTGTAATCTCTGGTGAAAGGCACCAGGAGCTCCCAGAGAGAAGAAAAGGCCATGAGTGATGTGAACTCCAATCGGTAGTTTGATGCCATGTGTTCAAACAGCATATTCAGTCCGTGGACAGCCAGGTTCTTCCTCTGAAACTCCTCGCTGCCATCCTGCGACACTGGCCGTGTCATGGACAGAGACACGTCCATTAAGACCACGGTAGGCATGGCTTACTGCTTATCTAGATCCCCACTAATACAATGGACTTAAAGTATCCTCCAACGTGCTCCCACTGAAAAAAAAAGATGATATTTAAGATGATTAACAGCACTAAACTGAGGCGTCTCTTCCTGTCCCTGAGGGCATGTTAACAAGACCATTCGTCCATTGTGTAGCTTATTATGCTACAAGTGTTAATTTCTGCATAACAGCTTTTGAATGTATCATAGTGAGGTTAGTTTCTATCAAAAAACGACCATTAAAGACGTTAAAAGCTAAAAAGGAAGGAACATGTCACAGCTGAGGACTGTGTGTAATGTTGGCTAACTTAGCTGTTCGGCTAACCCACGCTAGCATTCTGCAACGTAACGCCAAAAGACCCAACGGAAGAAACGTTTTGATTACTAATTAACAAATAAGAGAAGATAACCACACATAAGACAAAACATAATGTGAATAGTTAATATGACAACAACTTAATATATACGTGCCATTCAACGTTTCGCTGCCCATCCAGTGTTTGTGTTCTAATGTGCACCACTACTTCCGTCCGGGTGACAGCAGTGTTCCTTTACGCCTTACTTCTTCTTCTTCTTTTGATTTGATTGGCGGTTGGCAACCAGCATTTAGGAGCATTACCGCCACCTACCGGACTCGTGTGTGGAACAGATTATGGGGCAGACTAACATACTTACAAACAAATAAACAAATAAAACAAATAAACAAAAATTTCAAAAACCTATATCCTTTCCATTAATCCCGTATCTTTCAGATATTTAATGAGGTGCTTAGATATTCCCCATGCTTTATCCCCAAGGAGGTTATCCCTCGACAGTGAACTTAAGCTTAGCTTTCTCTACAACTGCTGCTGTTTTCCTCCTCGCCTCCACATAGCCTCTACACTCAACCAGCACATGTTGAATGGTCTCTATACTATTACATTTTACATAGTGTCCAGTTGGGTGTTTATCTATTTTATAAAGTGAATGGTTAAGCCCTGTGTGTCCTATCCTTAGACGGGTAATTTAAGTGCTTGTTTTGCCAGAATATCAGCGTATTCATTTCCCTCTACCCCTACATGATCAGGAACCCAAACAAAGCAGACAGTCAGTCCCTTATGATATAATCTACACAGAAAGCTATGAGTACTAAATACCAGATTACATGTGTGCAATAAACTGCACAAATGTAAATGAAATGTGTGGAAAATGCTCAAAGTCCCAAGAGGAAAATATTAGCCTGGTGCACAATTAGCTTTTGGTATCTAGTGATCTGGTCAGAGCCCTTGGATTTTTATCGATTTGGTGAATAGTTTTGCATGGAAACTGTTGCAGAAGAATCACCTGTTTGAAAGTAACGTTAAGAAAACTCACACTGTTACTGTATGTTTATCCTGCTACATGAAAATTGAACATCTGTCAGGGTCCATGACCAATGCTTTGGTCATCAGTTGTGTGAGTCTGTGACACTGAACATAATCCTCTTAGACATGTCCAACGTCATTTATAGCCTACTCTATAAAGTTATGTTATATAGGCCTAGGCAAAGGGTGGTCACACCAAATATTGATTTGGGTCAGATTTTTGTTCTGTACCGCTCTCCAGCTCATATGCGAACAAACTGCCTTCAGCTACAGCCAAATATTTAAATATTTTCATCAGTCCAGACTGAGCTCCTGCTGCCATCTTTCTGCACCCCAGTTCCTGTGTTTCCATGCATAGTTGAATCACGTGGCCTTGTTTCCATGTTGGAGCTATGGTTTTTGGCTGTAAGTCTTCCATGACGGCAACTTCTGACCAGAATTCTCCAGACAGTAGATGTACCAGAGTCTCACTGTTTTCTGCCCGTTCTGAGCAAATGGCACTGCTGGACATCTTCCCATTGTGAAAGGAAGTTACCACGATGCGTCTTTCATCTGCTGCAGTAAGTTTACAGCCCTCAAAGTTGCCTGTTTCTTTCTGCTTCTTCAAAATAGCTTGGACACATCTAGAAACCCTTATTTCAGTTAATGATTGTGTTTCAGCCTGCATATTGAATTGGTGATCATTAGCACAAAGTTTGGTATAATTGTTTAATCATACACCTGATGACATGCCTACAAGATCCCTGACATTGTGCAAGTGTACCTAGAGGAATCGATGCTGTTTTGAAGGCAAAGGGTAGTGATAAATATAACGACCCTCCACATTATTGGGACGATGTACATCATTTCACTTGATAAGTTCTTTGTTCCTGCGCTGGGGGTAATCACAGACAGGTTAGCCATCTTTGACAGGCAGGAGCCACCTTCATGACTGCCAGAATATCTGCTCCTAAGCTTTTTGTCCACTTCATAGGAGTTTTCATCCCCTACAGCAAAACTCTGTTTTTACAGGAGGTACTGGAGGCCACATTTCAGAGACATATCCCTCTACATACTGGCTCTCATCTTACTCATCATCTTCTTCTTGGAGAACATTGTGTGGTGGTAGAGCATGATGATCTATGGAGCTTTTAAGAACAACATGTACTGATTTTATTCCACTTGATGAGTTTAAAACAGCTTGTTTGTATTTTAAATGTTATCGTTAAAAAGCACAAATTGTATTTAGTATTATAAAAAGTGAACTTTCATCATGTCAACATGAAATTTGATGTTCAATGTGCAAAACAGATGCAAAGCGAAAATGATGTGTTCACTCATTCTGCTAGTATGCTTATCCCAGAGAGTCAATGAAAAGTGGCTATGAGACAGAAATCCACCTACTCCACCTGCTGTGCAGTTATATGTTAATCATGTCAAGAGTGAAATACAAAGGCCTTTGGGAACGAAAGCTGATCAGTCACAGCAAACACAGTAATCCTTTGAGGAGCTAAAGCACTCTACAAATCGTGATATCAAAGGATGAAAAGGAGCAGCTTGAATTCAAGAAGGCACTCTCCAGCCATATCCTAGGGGTTGTGAAAAAGCTCAGAAGTCAATCTTTGAAACCTTTAGGCGGCATATGGCCTCTTTATACTTTTGGTCTTTACTTTTATCTTTCATATACATTAACTTTTGCCCAGTATGATCAACGCACCAAATGTCTGTTCCCTGTGAAGACGTAATGATGGGGATAAAGACAATGAGATGTAAAAGGATAAACTTGGATTAGTAAGTGTAATAATATTACTGCTTTGGAAACGTAATCCGTTACACTACTAGTTACTGGGAAAAGTAATATTGTTACAGTAACGCGTTACTGAGTAACGTACAGTTGACGGTTTTGTTTTTTTCTGTCTCTTGCTTTGTCCTTTTCTTTACAAAGGTCTGCCAGTCCTTTGGCTCCTGTACTTCACGGTTTGGCTCCAATGGCCCTCAGCAGCAACAGGCTCTTCTGTGCCATCGTGTTGCTCTTTATCATGCTCCTCTTTGTCATCATCTATATTGCATCCTATAAATGGAAGATGAATAAGTCACTGGATTTCACCATGATTCTACCCTGTGGGGAAAAGGGCTTAAAATTATTATATATGTTTATGGCCATGAAATTTCTTATGCTTTTTTTAATATGCATATGTATATACATTCTCACTTTTAGAAATAACTCCTTGATTTGTGGGCCATTATTCCAACGCACATTCACAGACCAAAGTATATAAAATTTAAACTCCAACAATTACAGTAATATCCAAATGCATAAACACCTACTTCTGCATCTCAGTCTAATGGTCTAACAGACACCCCTTTTACAATAGTTTTTCTCAAATTTTATTGAAAATGTATAGAAAAACTAAATGACTGTCTACTGATGTGTCAAAATATATATTTTATAATATGTATTTTGCTTCACGTACATGTACACTATTTATACATGTTATATTAATGTATAATATAAGCACTATGTATTTTAAGATTATAATAATGATGTGTTGGATGTCTGATTTAAGATGTTCTGTGTGAAATGTGTTCCATTACAGTTGGAGAAAAAAAAGATCCATGAGTTACCAGCACCACCTACAGGACAAAAAAGAGAGGTAGGTACAAACATAATCCTATAACAAAGAATGGCCACAGATACCAATCACTGTGTGAAGTATAAGCTTTATATATGTTTAGTCTGTTATAATAATCTCACTAACATTATTATTGATTAAATATTCAGTTATAGTTTTGACTTATCTGATAACCTTTTACAAAATGTTTTATAAACTAGGCTATACCAAGGGTCAACCTTTATATTTAGTTCACCACCATCAGCTCACCATGCTGAGTTGCACGGTGTCATAGTTTATTATCACATTTTTGACAAACTCTTTTTTACAAACTCTATTGTATAATCTAGATGAAACATTAATATGAAATTTCAGGTTCTAAGGTTTCTAAGGTTAAGAAAGGAGCTGGCTGGCTTGACATTAACCATAATATCTTCAGTGAATAATACTTTTGACAGTTACAGTCCCAAAGTGTGTAATTGCCCGGGTGCATGGGGCGCAAATAAGAGCGATACTACATAGGCTATATGAAAAGCTTTCCCACAACCAAAAAAACACAAGAGCACGAGTGTGTGTGAATGGAATAAACTCGAGCAATATAGATTAATGTGCCTTTCACTGTTTCTCACGCCTTCAAAATGTGTGTCATAATGTGCGCCACTACTTCAGTCCGTGTGAAAGCAGCGTGTACCTTAGAGTAAACAGTTCCTACGTGATACAAACTCCAAATGGGAAGTTTCATATTCTTGTGCTGAAAATGTCGGCACAATATATATACATACATATATATATATATATATATATATATATATATGTGTGTGTGTGTGTGTATATATATATATATATATATATATATATATATATATATATATATATATATATATATATATCAGCATGGAAAGCCATTATTTCAACAATGATGCTATTGGCTTACATTTTGGACCCGACTTTTATTTAAGTGTCAGTCTTAAAAGAAGGATTTTATGCTATAGTTATGCAACATAATAGTATTATACTATAACACCATTTTTATTCTACATTATATTAAATATTACTAAGGTAGGTTTGAGATAAAGTGACAGTGAGACAACGTACTTAAGCCTCTTAGAAGACTTCAGGTATTAGGTATTATGCTGATCCATTGTGAAGACTTGTCTTGTGTCCTACATAACCCTTCAGCCATTGGCAACAGTCTGGACTTTTGTTTGTGCCACAATACCCTGCTGTGGAAATCTGCTTTTAAAGATTTTTGCACCTGACTTTGCATGACATTTGTCCTGTGGTAAGCCTACATCTGTAATTTAAATGCATTACTTGGTTTCTTCTCTTTGAAATTTTGTAAGTAGCCTAAACTCTTACCATTCACATTTTCTATTTATTATTATTTATATTTATTTATTTATTATTATCACATTATCTATTCATTTTCTTTTTAGTGGTCATCCACTACTTTTGTCTCTGCGTGCATTTATGTTTTGCCTTTGCCTGGTGTTTATGTTTGTTACTTATTTTGACCATTCTGTTTCTCAGAAACCACTGATGTTCAAAGAAAGTAAAATCAGAATCACCCTTCACACATCCAAGGAATTTTCTTTGTTTTTTTGGTGCATAACAATAGTAGGTGGAAATAACAGTTTAGTCTCAACAGGTTCTAAATGGGCTTATCAATAATGCTTTTCTAACAGTTATGTGTGAGGTGCATTGTCTGGATAGTTCAAATGCATTTAAATGTGCACTACTGTTGTGCCACTGGCTGTCTAAATGTCATTTTTTCTCTGATGCTTCCTGTCATTTACAATAGGCTGGGTTTTCCAAGGAGTGGAAGATGTGACATGAATCACACTGCTGAAAGTTTGGATTCTGTCACCCCATGGTCTGCTGGGGAAAGAGCTGGACTTGTCCTCTGCCAAAGCCCATTTATGCAGCTTAATTATCCATAGCCAGTAGCACCACTGCTTTAGAGGAAAATGTATCGTACAAGAAGGAAGCGACTGCAACTGAGCCGGGTCTTGTTTCTCCTCTCTGGGGTTTTCCTGTGTACGCTGTACCATCTGACGATCAGTGCCAGAATAAACGAGCCTTCGCCAATGCCTCAGATTGGAGAGGATTTTGGAGAAGGTTCAACAGAAGTGGTTGAGGAGACTACAGTAGAGACTCAGGGGCTGGAGGAACCTCTCACTGCAACACATGAATTAGAGCCAACAGATCAAACAACAGCAGAGATGCATGTGGTACATCATACAGACTCAACTTCAGTTTTTTTAACATCCACCTCCACTGAATCACCACCATCGCCAACCACAAACAGGACTATTGTGCACTGCATCTATGTGGCCCCTGAGCCTCCACAGCAGACACCCACACCAGCTCCAGCTCCGGCTCCTCCCGTAACCACCATCACTCCAGCTTCTCCTGGTGAAGCTCCATATATTAAGGGTGAATACCCTGAAGATATCTTTTCTATTGAAGACCGCAGACAAGGCTGGGTGATCCTCCACATTTTTGGGATGATGTACATGTTTATTTCACTTGCAATTGTGTGTGATGAGTTCTTTGTTCCTGCACTGGGGGTAATCACAGACAAGTTAGCAATCTCTGACGATGTGGCAGGAGCCACCTTCATGGCTGCTGGAGGTTCTGCTCCTGAACTTTTCACCTCTTTGATAGGAGTCTTCATCGCCCACAGCAATGTGGGTATTGGCACAATTGTTGGTTCAGCTGTTTTCAACATTTTGTTTGTGGTTGGAATGTGTGCTCTTTTTTCACGGGAGGTACTTCATCTAACCTGGTGGCCACTTTTCAGAGATGTATCCTTCTACATACTTGACCTCATCTTACTCATCATCTTCTTCTTGGATAATGTCATAATGTGGTGGGAGAGCATGATGCTGGTGACCAGTTACGCTCTCTATGTGATTTTCATGAATTTCAATGTGCAAATAGAGCGGGCCTTCAAGACCCAACTCTACAAAAACAAGAACATTGTCAGAGTTATAGCTGTTGAGGAACCTGAAAAGGTAAGCACTCGTGTGACTGAACATGACCCTGGTCTAAAATGATTTTTCATGTCCTCAACTGACACAATAATGAGTCCGTTTAGGCTATATCATAGAGAGTTTTCTCAAGTGTGGAAAAAACCCTGAAGAGTTACTAACTAACAGTTTGCAGACATTTGTCTAAAAGTTGTCTAAACAGTGGTATATAGTTGAGAACATCTATTGAAAACAGAATGTCCCGTTTGAGATTTTGTGCTATTATTTACTGGCACCATTTTGCTAGTGTTTAATCATGTTAACATACAAGTAGTGGATACCAGCCCTTTCAGTCATGGATACTTTTGTCTCGTATTCTGTTATACTTATCACAAGCAGTGTGGTATATTTTTTTAAACAGAAAGTCACATTACTCATCCCACATGACAATTCTACTCCTGCCTGTGGGGTTATGAAAAGAGTGAAATTATACTATCAAAAGCCTTAGGGGGACCAAAGCTGATCAGCCCCAGCAAAGTTATCCTTTGAGGAGCTACAGCTCTGTACAAACCCTAGCATAAACATATACTTGTTTAACCCTGCAAGCATGATTGAAGCTTAATTTACACAAAGCTACAGTAGCCTATGTGTGCACACTATCTCTACCAATGAATGACTACACTGAAAAAAACATTGTTGCATGCAGACACATGGGGACGGTGAAGATAATGCCTCTCGTGCTGCACAGGACAAGAATCATTTAAAGGTAACAATCAAACAACCAATCAACTGCAAAAAGAAAGTCACAAAAAAACTACACTCTGATACCCAGGACACTCAGGCGAATTCACAAAAGGATTGAGCGGCTTTTGCAAAACTTGTACAAATAAGACAAAAATGAACCGTGAAATTTCTCAAAGCACCCTCAAAGGGTAAAGGCACCCCTAACTGTGCTGCAATGATATTTGAACATATTTAAATGAGGTAATATGCATACATTTGGCGCAAAATTGGCCCCTTTCTGTGCAAATGAGCCTCATTGCAAAAAAGACCAATTCACAAACACCAGCACCAACCCCACACACAGTTATAGTGAAATTATTAGTATCTTCAGAGAGTTGGTGGTAATTTAAGCACATTTATAAGATGTGTCATGCCCCAGAGTTTCCTGTGATCATGGCAGCGGTGATTGTAGCCAGTACATCATATAGGCTACCTACTGTTGTGAGAAGCAGAGACGATGCTGTACTGTAACAGCCCAGCATAGAGCACAGAAGAGAAAACTGTTCCTTACACAGTTAGAGCACCCCAAATAACAATCAGACATCTGACAAAACACTGAATAAACACTGAACATATTAAGTAATGAACGGAAAGTTTTGTTCTTGCAGCTGCATTTACACATTTTATTGCTCAAATGTTGCTTACTTTAAGAACAAATATTACTGGGACATGGCTGTGTTTGCACTGGCTGTGTTTGAACTGTAGTATCATTAGTGCAATATATTTTGTGAATTGGACCTTGAGACAGAACCGATCGTGGTTGCAAGTAATGTGCAATTCATAGTGCTATCAGCGGCTGCAATCCATTCTTTGTGAATTCACCTCTTAGTGTTTGTTTTTAAAAGATTTTCCCAATTTTTCTTTCCACAATCCCATTCATCATAACATCATGTCAACATTCATTCTTTCAAGTGCTAGCACAGATAAATGCACTTCTCAAATAAAAATACAAACCTGACTTCCACTATGGCATGATTGTCTGACATTGCTGTGTCACTGTCAGGTGAAGCCATCCCTTCAGCGAGGAGGAAGTTCAGCTTCTTTACACAACAGCACCATGAGAAACACCATCTTCCAGCTTATGATCCACACATTAGACCCTCTGGGAGAGGGTGAGTACCATATCGCTACAATGATTTCCCTAATGACATAATAAGGGGCTGGGGACTACATCCTTCTCATAGTAAAATGGATTAGCAAAGTGTTCCAAATGAAGGCAGCACTAAGCCTAGATTGATACTAAGTAGATAAATACCTACCTCAGTCTATTGAGGGATCCATTTGTAGACCCACAGTGAACTATAAAAAAGATTCTCGTCACACACAACATAGCCATGGTCATAGTCAACAAAAAAAATTGTTTTACACATAATAATTATTAAATTGTTAATGACTATAAAAAAATTATATTATGTGAGAGACATACAAATAAGTTTGAAATTTCTGTTTAACCTGTTAACTATGATGGGGTGCTGGCTGGTTAAACAATGTGGTGATGGAATGGCCCTATACGTATTTCCCGCTGGTTTTCCCTAATGGCATTTCCTGATATGTTACTAAGGTTACTGTAGCTTTATAGTGCATTGTGCTGTGTGGTTCATACTAGTATCATCTCACAATTCAAATTTTCCTGCTCTCTGGTTGCTTGAGGCAAGACTACGGTACAGTGTGGCCCAATTTGTGTACCTGTGGATCCTGGTTTGCTTGTCTCTTTGGCCCCACTGCTCCAGCACAATAATCAGTTTTTGAATGAGCCTAAAAAATCTGGATCACAGCTAGCAGACCTTATATCAACCCACTCTATTCATCTATGTTGTTGGAGAACACTAGTGACATTGAGATGCATCAAAGAAACATTATAAATCTTACTTACTTATTTGGGTGATTTTGTTAATCAAATATATTGATGATATTTGGGGGAATAGGAGCACAGTTTAAAGGAGGAAATGCTGGGAAAGAGTTTGAAATGCTTTGAATGTAATATCAGAAAGGATGTCTGCACTTCCTAGCCATCCTAATGTGTGCTGCATGACTATCTATACCGATGCGTGCTATTAATTATAATTATTAGATGCTCGCTTGATGTATTTAATCTGAGACATTGGATCTTTTTTAAAGATGTCTATTAAACAAATTGCTGTTTCTAATATATAAATAAGCAGTGTAATTCATGTTTAGTATAATGGGTGTTTAGTGGAGAGCAAAGTAAGATTGTGTCTTGTCTTGTCTTGTGCTGAGCAGTGCCTCTTGTACAATTCCTTTGATAAGCTCATTCTTCCTGGCTGGATCTATAGTTCACATAGACATTGCTCTGGGCTGCAGTAAGGATTATGACGCTGCTGTTGTTTTTGATGTTATACTGCCAGTATTTTGCTCTACGCTAACTCATAAAAGATGTGCTTGTCTGTCCTCCCTATACCTGTGAAACACCAAAATTATTGTTAATATTGTTACATCACTGAGTAATTTATCACAGAATTTTAAGTTTGTTTCTGCTTGTTCGTAGGGAAATTTAAGGATAAGGCTGAGACTCTGAATAATGTGGCTAAACGGAACGGAGAAAGCAAAACTCAAGACAAAAGTGAAGGTAACATGGAAGGATGTGATGATCATCCACTGATCAGGCGCCTTTCATTAAGCTTTCAGAGTCTGCTCATGAACAGAGTCTGAAAGCTGCTCATCATTTGGGCTGCAAAGCTCTGTTTCACACTAAAGCCATACAGCCAAAATACTTCAGCATGTGAACTGAATGAGTCAAATCGGTTCTGTGACTGCAGAAAGATTAGATGTCTATGATAAGTTCCCTTCTTTATAATAATAAAACTTTATTTCATAATGGTAAAATTTGTCTTTAGCATCATTTTATGCTGTTTGGCAGCATACTGTAGGTGGGTGACCAGTAGTATAATTTGAAGTGTATTCATGGTAGTGTAAATAAAACACAAGGAATACATTCATTTACTATCAAGGTGAAATATACTGTATAAAACAACAACATACAAACGGTACAAAATACTAAGCAAAGTGCCTACAGGAATATGTAATAAAATCCAAATACATACTCCTATGAACACAGTAAGTTCATTCAGTCCAGTCTTAACAACTGCATTCCTCCATATGACCAGTCCTAAAGTCTAATGACATGACATTGGAGTTCCTTTAGATAGCTGAGTGAGTACGAGGCATGAGGGGAAATGCACAAGCTCTTTGGGATTTCTTTCACAGATGGTGGGGTGAAAACTGAGCAGACCAAAGAGCCAGAAGCTGCCCCGGCCGCAGAAACAGAGAAGGAGGAGCAGCTAGAGGACAAGAAGGTACTTCCCAACCATGTCCCGGTGGTTATCAAAAAGCCCAGAAGTCAATCTATGATACCTGTCTATGTAAGAGTCAATGTACAGAGCTATAACTTCAGGCAACAAATGGCCTCTTTAGGCTTCTTTGTTTTATTTTCTCTTTTGCTTCTACTGTTGCCCATCATGATGTTTTTCAACACTTCAGGAAGATGTGCCAGCAGCACAGGATGGGTCAGGAGGGTCAGGTGGCTCTGACAACGATGAAGATGACAGCGATGAAGACAGCGATGAGTCCAGTGAAGATGAAGATGATGACGAGGAGGATGAAGATGAGGAGGAAGAGGAGGAGGATGAGGAAGACGCGGAGAAGGAAGAACCTCTGTCTTTAGAGTGGCCTGACACACCACGTAAACAAGTCACCTTCCTCTTCCTGCTGCCCATAATCCTTCCTCTGTGGCTCACAGTTCCAGATGTCCGCAACCAGGTAAAGATGCATCTCTGAGGTCAGCAGTGGTAACTTAAATGCCTCCACTGTGTTTTTACATCACTTACTTTGTCCAACAGAAATCCAGAAAATTCTTTGCGGGCACCTTCCTGGGCTCTATTGTGTGGATTGCTGTCTTCTCCTACCTCATGGTGTGGTGGGCCCATCAGGTCAGTTACGGTAGTAACATTTACAGATGGAATTTGAAATGCTTCACCTTCTGATTGTGCATTCAGGCACGAGGTAGCTTTCACAGAGATTGGTGTAGAAGCTGAGTACACATGAATTCAGATATCAAAGGATTTTTATTTCCATTAAATCATCTCCCTGAACCAGTGAATATACTCTGAAAGTGAAATTAAGACTGTGTCCTGAATCTGTCATGTTAAGAAAAACATGTAATTAGTTTTCCATTTCTGTAGCTTTCATCCGCTCTGAACTCCGGTTTGCCTTTTTAGGTGGGTGAGACCATTGGCATCTCAGAGGAGATTATGGGCCTGACTATCCTGGCTGCAGGGACATCCATCCCCGACCTCATTACCAGTGTGATTGTGGCGCGTAAAGGCCTGGGGGATATGGCTGTGTCCAGCTCTGTGGGCAGTAACATCTTCGACATCACTGTGGGGTGAGCTCAGATAGCCTGATGTGTCAGGATTTAAAAAGAAATGGCAATGAACACTCAGTTGATGGATTTTTTTTGTCTCCTATTTTTCTGTTTCTCGCTCTGTCACTTTTTTTTCAAAAGTCTGCCAATCCCATGGCTCCTGTACTCATCATTCCACGGTTTGGCTCCAGTGGCCGTCAGCAGTAACGGGCTCTTCTGTGCCATCGTGCTGCTCTTTATCATGCTTCTCTTTGTTATCATCTCCATTGCATCCTGTAAGTGGAAGATGAATAAGGCACTGGGTTTCACCATGTTTCTGCTCTACTTTATCTTCCTGGTGCTTAGCGTGATGCTGGAGGATCGCATCATTGTCTGCCCTGTTTCCATCTAAACGTGTGAGCAAAGCCTTCCCTACAGCAGGCTTTCTCTTTTCTTGTGAGCTGAAGCAGAACTGTCAACCCATACACGTGCGGATCTCATAAGCATGGGTCTGGATATCTGTAGAAACTGTGCAGAAAGCTACTGTAGTTGCTCTACATTGGTGTCAGTGACATGTGCACGGTATGTCAGCAGCAGTGCACATATTAACATTTTAGTAACGATGGCAGGAGATGCGGAACTACTGTCCAATATAATGTATGGCTGTGCAGTAAAAGAATGAACACAGATAGTAACATTTTACTGTTTACAAAACAAAAATGCAAAAATAAATCTAGAATATGTGCACATTTTGGAAAATTGATGCGGTTTCTAAATGTGAATTTTGTACACTATGTACAGTAAGTACACACTTGCACCAAGTGTGTACATTATAGAGAACCTGAGCTTGCTTGAAGTTACTGTTCTTTCATGCACGCAAGTTTTTATAAAAAGGTCAGGCATAGCGATAGTTGAAAAAAAAAAACTAGACATCCATAGAACAAACGTCTTTATTCATAAATGAAAGCAAAGATATAGATCCAGCCAGGGAAGAAATTTGATTTCTTTTTTTTATATATAAAAATCATACAAATTAGTATCTGTGTTACAAATGATATATAATACTTCATAAACATTGTTTAAATCTCACAAATTGTGTAAACAACGTGTAGACATCAAATTATGTTTTTGGTCATCTTTGTTTGTGTTTTTTTTGTCACAATTTACAAGGTGATTAAAATACAACAATGTTTGTGCCATGAGACTGGCATTAATTCCAAGCACACAGCCTTGTCTAATCCAGCATTGTATTGTCATGAATTATTGTGATGAAATCCAGTAATAGGATGTGGAGCTGCATCACACTACTAACAGAATCTTTCTCTCAGTAAATAGTGACAAGACAATCGTAACAGTGAACCATCGCACCCATTTTTGGAAGTGATTTTTGAATTTGGGCAGGTCAGAGCTGTTGTTCTAACTTAACACCTTTGACATTCACATATTATTTAATATGCTCAGTGCAAAGAAACGTGCATTGCCATTTATCCAAAGAGATTTAAAATGTCACATTATACAGTGCACTGTATATCTACACCATACAGTGAAGACCAAAACGAAATACACAAAATACTAGAATCAAATACTCTGTACATTTTTATAGATCTATTACTGTGTCAATAAATTAATTTCTTTATAAAAAAAAAACAATTGTGTTGAATAAACCAACAGAAAACATTTATTTTCAGTTTTTATTTTGTCTACCATTAGTTTGATTGTACTATCTTTCAGGAAATCTATCCTTGGTGGTCCCTTATATCACATACATCATTCATCCTCACATTGAAAAGGGTATTGCTTAAAAAAGGGTTAATAAATCACTGAAGCATTATTCCCTGTTGGAAGGTTTTGGTACATTGTACAAAATAGGATAAATGAATAAACATTGTGCATATACATTAATTGAATACTCCCATTTCAGAAATAATGTTTCATAATTTTTTGATGTTACCATCCAGTTTAGTGTATTCAGGCATATGAGCATTGCCCTGCTAGGTGTACAGAGTGCAGATGAGGAGGAATTTCTTTGCTTTAGTTAACTGCATGTGATAAATATTAGACAGTACAGTAAGTCCTGCAGCTGCCAAATAAAAAGTCACTTAAGCGTAGGCTGTTGGGCCCCAGAATTACGTAAATGAGAATGAATGGTAAGTGCTCATCTTGTCAAAGTGCTTTGTAAAACCATGAATGTCTAAAAGCAAGTACTTATTATGCACACACACACACACACACACACACACACACACACACACACAGTCCAAACAAGGTCACCAGGACCACTTACGAATTTCAACAACATGATCATACACTTACTTTTACGTACTTACTCACAGCTTCAACAAAAACAAAGTCATAAAATAGACTATATAATTACTGTACAAACATTTTACTATAGTTATACTGAAAATACAGTGGATTTTCTAAATATTTACAAACACAAGGCCTGTCACTCCACACTTCTCAGCTCTAACAGTATACAAGAAACTCATGGCAGTTGCTTTACATGAAGTGTCATTTTCCCATTGTGCTTGAGAGCTCTGTGCTCCAGTCAGGTGAACTGGTCCTGAGTCTGGGGAGCAGTCCAAAAAAACCCAACAAAAAACAGCAGCTGTGACCGTGGTTGAAGGAAAAACACAGGAAAAAACAGGACAGAAGAAGAGTGGTTCACAGGCTGGGCTCCCCAAATGTCCTCCTGCACTCCATGACCCCTGCTCCAGGGGGCCGGTCACAGTTGTGTGTCAGTTTAACCTGGTTGGGGTTGAGGCGATCATATGCCAACTTGTACTCCCGATCAAAAGCATCTGCAATGAGATAATGGTTAGTTAATAATGTGGACATAACGTGTCAGTGTGAGCACTGAGCACACTTGCTGTACATGACATATATTTAAGATATTTGCTTTGAATAACATGTATTTCACATAGCAAGACAGTTACAGCCATGGTAGAGGATTTGAGTCTGGCAGTGGTGAGTTAAATACAAATGTCAACATGCTAACAGGCTCATAAGAACAATGCTAACATGCTGAGATTTAGCAGGTATGTTCGCCATGTTAACCGCCTTAGTTTAGCTTGTTAGCAGGCTAACAATTGCTAATTAGAACTAAAGAAAAGGTAAAGGTGAGGCTGGTGGGTATGTTATTAGTTTTGCAGGTCTTTGGTCCTAAACCAAGTACTGGACAGACTGATATTTTGACCTGATGATCCAGTGATCACAATTCATCCTGAGAGAGACATACAGTAAATGTTGTACTAAATTTTGTGCTGGTCCATCTGGTAAATGTTGAGATATTTCACAGGACAAGTGAAGACTTTAACTTGCTGGTGGTGCTAGAGAAAAATTCAGAGGCTCTCCAAATTCAGTAGAATTCGCTCACTCGGGCAACTTGGTTATCTGTACCAAATTTCATGGCAACACATCCAACAGTTGTTGATATTTCAGTCTGGACTAAAGTTGTGGACCAACTGACAGACAAACCATGGCTAAAAGCAGGATATCTTTCTTTTGAACTTACTGATATTAATGTTGTTCTTGCCCAATGCCACCAGAGCGAGGAACAATAAATCTCGGTACAGGCTCCTATTTGACAATGGAAAAGAAGAACACAATAAGGCTTTCCATTCAAGTTTTTTTCTCTCACAGCTTTACACTAAAGTATTGATCTCCTTACCTCTGTCTTTTAAAACCCAGCTCTGGCCCCAGCACCTGGATGATCTGGCTCATGGGCTGATAAACATCACTCTTCTTAATGCTCCTCACAAAACCCTGCAGTAGCTCCACAGTAAAGAGCTGCCCTTCTTCACACAGCCCAGAGCGAACCAGGGAGTTTGCACCTGCAATGAACGAGAGATAAAAGTCACCCTGATCAAAGACTCATTCATCTCCATTACTAACAATTAACTCTGATAGTATAGCACTGGTAGAAGTAAGGTCGGCATGACTAACAGGAGTCCTGAACTGAATTATGCATGGTTTTCTAGTTACCCCATATGCATTATTTAATTTACATGTAAATATCTGACCTTGAAACTTGCCAGCGTTACTAGCAGAATCATTTTTCTGAAAGTAACTCACCTTCGGAAACACGTTATACTTCAGACAGTCAGTAAATGCTAGTAAATTCTTTCAAACTACTTACAATGTGTGTTCCACAGGACATAGGAGGGTTGAACTTTGTCTTTGTGCAACTTCAGGTTGTCCCACATAATCCTCACAAGCACCTGTTTGCTGTCCTCGGATGGAACACTCTGATGGGTCTGCAAGAGGTCAAACGTGTGGAAGATTAATCTCTTTCTCCATATATTATAGCTCTTATGGGTAGAATTTTGTTGTTATTCTATCTCTAAAATTATTTAGTTTTTTACTTAAAAACAATGAGCCATTCCCAGAGGAAATCAGTATTCTACAAGCTGCTTTTATGCATTGCTTTGATTTGATAGTGTCTTTTTTTATACCACCACTAGGAGTCACTAAAGTCAGATTTTTTTAACTACCTAGGAGGTTTAAAAGAATTGTTCTACATTTTGGGAAATATGCTTATTTGCTTTAGATATGAGAGTGGTATAAATATTCTCATCCAACTATCCAAGAAAGTGAATAAGCTAATATCTCAAACACAGTGGGTGGACAGACACCTGCACGTTTACCTGGTCTCCATGGCTACAGCGCTGGGAGGCCAGGATAAGAGCTGGCAGGTTGCTCGGCAGCTCCAGCCTTCTGAAGTACCACACAAGGTTCCAGAAGACGATGGGGTGTTGATCGACAACACTCGGAGAGGAGATGGCCTGGTCACCCTCATTCACCAGCAGGCTCTCCAGCTCCTTCCACAGAACCAGAGGGCTCAGGTAGGGCACCGTCACCGGAGCAGAGGAGAGGGGTGAGACTGGCGGGTCAGCACTCCCACTACTCTCCTGCCTCTGCTCTGCAGGTGACTGACCAGCACTGTCTGCAGCAGACATTTTGGCCTCGAGATTGAGTAACGCCGATGTGTCCTCCTCTGTAACAGGATTACTATCCTTAGAAGACCTGAGGGGAGACACAGAGTGGATCTGTTTAAAGAGGCCAAAGGGATAAAAGATTTTGTGTCTTCGTGTGTTTGTGTTTCAGTGCTTTTTGAAAACGTGCCAGACAGCTACCAAGACACTAGAAAAATAGACTATCTAGAAAAAGAGGTCAAAGACATTAAACCTCATATTATTGCTGAACTCCGTGTGAAATGATGGACGTACTTGATTAATTATTCAAAGCGTTTGTGCACTCTATGTAAATATATATCGGGTAGATACAGTGTTGGTCTGTGTGAAGGGAGCATATACCTGGTCTGTGGTCTCAGGTCTTTGATTTCCACATTGAGGAAGGGCAGAAAGGCTGTGCCGCAGAAGGGACAAGTGCTGTTGAGGTTTGAGTCGTTTGCTGTCCAGCCAGCCATGATCTCCTCATCATATACCAGACAGTCACACGTCTTACAAAGTGAACAGCTGGACATCAGCACCTATAACAAAAAGCATCAGGCTAATGAGGAAAGCCATCACAGTGCACTCAATCATGATTGTCTGAGTCAGTCTAATGATCAGTGTCTGATACGGGATTTTTATGTGAGTAACTTACCTCTATAGTGTAATTGGGAGTGGGTTGGAAGCGGCTGGTGTCGGGGGAGGAATCTGGAGTGTGAGGAGTTTTAGAGGGAAGTGCCAAACCACCTGGATAGAGGATTATACAATTAGACACACCAGACAAAGCCGATATTTAACACAAAACTATAATAATTTAAGAATATATCTTGATTAAATAAAGCAAAAGTAGAAAAATGAAATGAAGCAGCAACCCGTTCTTCAAAGCAAA